CCCAACCCCACTGTCTCCTAGTCGCCCTTCCCTGGCAGACCGTGTGGACACATGACTGAGCACGAGATCCGGGCCACTGCTACCCTGGCCCATTGAAAACTACCTCCACGACCTCCCCCCATGGGCTCTCTGCTGGCTGGCCAGACCTTAAGGATTGCAATAAGGGGGTTGGCAACCCTTTTCTGTAAATAGTAAATATTTGAGGCTTTGTAGATAAGACTATGAGGTGACACACACGATGCTACCTATCCCTGAGAAGGGAAATTTGGCGAATTACATATGCTAGGTATTTGACCCAGCAATTCCACTTCTAGGAATCTATCCCAAAGAGAGGTCAGCGAAAACAGAAAATGACATGCGCAAGGCACCTGCACTGCAGCATTATTTGTACCAAAAAAAGATTGATAGCCTAAACATCCATCATGAGGGGACTGGTAATGAGGCACAGCCTCCTGAAACAATGGATTATTATGAAGCTATAAAAAAACAAGAATGAGGGGTAACTTATTTTGTAAAATAAATTGAAGTTTTTTGAAAAATCAAGCATGTGGTTATTTTTTAATGTTTTATTGGTTTTGAGAGAGAGTGAGAGACCGTGCTAGCAGGGGAAGGGCAGAGAGAGGTGGGGGAGAGAGAGTCCCAAGCAGGATCCGTGCTGTCAGCGCAGAGCCTGCTGTGGGGCTCAAACTCATGGGAACTGTGAGCCAAAGTCAAGAACTGGACGCTTAACCACCCCAAGCATAAGTATTTTTAACATGGTATTTTTCCTAGTGTAAAAAAGGAAAGAATTATGAATGCATATATGTCTAGCTATATTTTCAAAAAAACGAAGATTAAGAGATGACAGGTTATCTAAAGGCACCTGGGTGGCTCAGTCAATTAAGCATCTGACTCTTGATCTCAGCTCAGATCTTGATCTCAGGGTCATGAGTTCAAGCCCCATGTTGGGCTCTGTGCTGGGCATGAGGCCTACTTAAAGAAAAGAAAGCTTACGAGTTATCTCGACAAGGAAAGTGAACGGGGTGAAGCAGGTAAACTGTGAATGTATCTTACAAAGTTTTGCTCTTGGGCTAATGTTTGTTTTACATAATTAAAAAACAAAGCAAAAAGCAATCTCTCAACACCAAGAACGAATTAATCCAACTGTGTATCAAGTTGATGGCATAATTACTGGAAGAAAAAAGTAAGTGATTTTAAGAGGGTATTTTCACCGTGAATCTCTAGTGAGACATGGCCTAAAAATAAAAGAATTGCAAAGAAATCTTAAGCTGTATTTAGTGACCTAGTTAGTTGTTATGCTGGTATTGATATTTTGAAATTATTTAAGTATACCACGGGGTAAAACAATTATGGTTGATGTTGTTAGCAACCAAGATTTTCAAGATTACAATATAAAATCAAGAAAAATCTGATACTCTTACCTTGGAATTGGAAATCAGTAGAACATTTTTTCCCTTTGAAGAAAAAGTAAAGGCCTAGAGACACAAGTTAACCCAGTAGTAATCAGCATTAATAGTGCCCAAATTCTGGTCTCTAACATTTCTCACTAAAAGAAATCCTTCAATAAATGGCCAATTCCAGGTCTGGAGCAGGAGATGTGTAAGATGAGCCTTTATCATACCAGTTAAGCAAAAAAGCCATCACAATCAGGCTTGTGGGATTCTGTCACAAGGACACGGAAACCTAAAATAAGGCAATTTGAACATCAAAGAGTAATAATGAGTCAAAACATACATTCTTTCCTGTATGAGATGCATCTCAGGGTAACCAAATAGTTAATAAGTTTCTTTTACAGAAGAATTCAAGAATTCAGTGAACACAGAGGCAATTTGGGCCTCTTCAACAAATAATGGGTCGTCAATTAAATTTAAAACCAAGACGAGAAAGACGGATAGGAACCCTTACAGCCTGACCTCACAGCTTAGCACCGCTAAGCACCAGACATTTTGTGCCACAAGATTCAGTACAACAGGACACTAATGAAGTGTCCTTATCCAATTCAACCTGAATCCAATCAGGCCTCTAGATTAAACTTAACCAGTTTATATGAAATACAAGTGCTTGGAGGAAATTGTTAAACACCACCAAGGAGCTAGAAGCCAAATCTGGAATGTGGGATCTTCCACAGGAAAACCCAGTTTCTCTAATAAATAATAGTACAAGGAGGGAGAATATTGTTGAATAAGAGTCTCAAGAGCTATCATAATCAAAGACAATGTATACATCTTATCTGGAACCTTCATTAGGTTTCTGATACCACTGTAACTACCACAAATTTATTCTCTCACAGTTCTGGGGCCAGAAGTCCAAAAGCTAGGTGTCCGCAGGGCATTGTTCTGTGGAAGGCTCTTCCAGCTTTGGTGGCTCCAGGCTTCCTTGGCTTGTGGTAGCACCACCTCAGTCTCGAGAGGCTTCTGTAGTCTCATTGCCTTTTTTTTTTTCCTTAAGCTCCAAAAACAGGTTTACAAAGTAAAACAGCCTATCCAGACCACCATTATTAACACTTGGTATCTTTTTCCAGATTTTTTTTTAGAGATGTGTAAACAATTTGTTCCCACAAAAGTGGGCATAAAATATAAACACTGCCTAGGCCCATCTTAATACCTCTTCTTCTGTCTCAAAACGCAGTCTCTTGGGGCGCCTGGGTAGTTTAATTGGTTAAGCATCTGACTTCGGCTCAGGTCATGATCTCTTGTGAGTTCGAGCCCCGCGTCAGGCTCTTTGCTGACAGCTCGGAGCCTGGAGCCTGCTTCAGAGTCTGTGTCTCCCTCTCTCTGCCCCTCCCCTGCTTGTGTTCTCTCAAAAATAAACATTCAAAAATCAAAAAACAAAAAACTCAATCTCTTATAAGCCCTCTGATTGCACTTAGGACCCACCCAGATAATCCAAGATAAATTCCTTTTCTCAAGTCCTTTAACTTAGTCATCTTTTGCCACAGAAGGTAATATTGACAGGTTCCAAGGATTAGGATATGGGCCTATCATTTGGGGGAACACCATTCAGCCCACTGTATATCCTCATTAGAAGAACATAATAAAACATTTGTTAAAGGATCAGGAAAATTTGAATATGAACTGAGTATTAGATGATATTAGCAAATCCTTATTTTGTTAGATGTGAAAATGACACAGTTTTTTGTTTTTGTTTTTTTTTAATCATTAGGGAGACATCCTTAAGTGGTTAGGTACAATGAGATGTTAGGGTTTTGCTTTAAAATACTCCAGACTCTTCCCTCCCCTATGAAAAAGTAAATCAAGATTAGTCATATTTTAATAATTGCTGAAAAAGGGGTGATGACTGTGTAGGTCTTAGGATTCCGGTAGTAAAAAGTTTTTTGTAACGTAGTTGGAAAAAACGTAAAATTGTCCACTAAAATTAGACAGTAAATGTCTCAGAATGAACTTATCCAGAAGATCTACACATGAAAAATATTACAAGACTTAAATCAGTGGAGGGGCAACTGGGTGACTCAGTCCGTTAAGCCTTTGATTCTTGATTTCAGCTCAGGTCATGATCTCATGGTTTGTGGGATCGAGCCCTATTTTGGGCTCTGTGCTGACAATGTGAAGCCTGCTTGCAATTCTCTCTCTCTCCGCCCCTGCCCTGCTCGCTCTTTCAAAATAAACTTAAAAAAAAAAAAAAAAATCAGTGGAGACACAGATCATCATCTTGTGCAAGCAGAAATAAGTCAAAACACCAACAGGTGCCTTTTTAAAATACTCCTAACCTTAACTCCAAAATTTTAATTAGGAATTTCTCCTAAGAGAATAACCCACACATGGTGCCAGATGGTGCAACAATACTGGATAAAGTAAATTATGTTATAGCCATATTCTAGAACACTATGCAGCAACTAAATGATGTCAATATTTATTGACCTGAAAATATGTTCAAGATAAATTAAGTAGAAAAGGGGTTATATAGCCATATAGAGTATGATTCCATTCTTTGTTAATAAAATATACGTGTGAACATGTACAACTCACACCCTTATTTACACATATCAGAAGGGGAAATATACCAAAGGCCAGGATATATACCAAAATGTTAATATTCAGTTATTAACTCTGAATGGTGAGTTTGCAGAATTCTTATTCTTTACCTTTTATCAGCATTTCATTTTTCTACTATGAACACCTATTACTGATACAATTAAAGAAAAATAAAAGTGTGGCTACAGACTTTATGATCACCATATGCCCTAAAGAGGCAGTGGGGGGTGGGGGAGACAGTGCTTCCCTTGCCAATGTATTGTTGAAAGTTCTAAGAACTTTATATTACTTCTCCTAGCACTTTCCAAAATGTGTTCCATAGAACAGTTCCACAGGTGTCACACAAAGAAGGGTTCAATGTCCAAGTTTTCAGAAATGTGAGGTTAAGACATTAATCTGTTGTTTGCTAGGCATTCCAGGAGGAAAGGACATGGGTCACACACATTCTTTGGGCCACAGAACCTTTTCTTTTACATCCTACATAGTAGTAATAGGACTTGTATTTAACATATTTTAGGAAATGCCAACGTACAAACCTGAAGAAAAAGGACTATTTACATACTTACATTGAGAATCTAAAAGCTTCTGGCCCATTTTTCCTAGACTTAGATTGATTCATCTCAAAATAGTTCCAAATTTATCATATTTTTGTGGTCTCAAGCTTTATAGTTTTAAATATAATTTGCATCCTGCTGTCAGGTGATTTAGAGCCATGTTTTTTAAACTGGATTTCTACCAGGTGTTGAGAAATTAGCTTGGTGGTCACAAACTACACTTTTTTAAAAACTGAAATAAAACTCAAGAGTTTAGTAAGGGTAATGTTTTTGTGAAACTTTTGTGTCCACATATAATCACATAAAATATATATATATAAAATCACATAAATATATATATATATAATCACATAAATAAATAAATACACACACACACACGCGTGTGTGTGTGTACTGGTCACAATAAAAAATGCCAAAAAATTTTTTGCCTTAAAAAAAATTGAAAGCCACTGAATTAAAGACATGAATTTATTGGTAAATAAGTTAAAATCAACACCTACTGATTTGATAAAATACTTGTTCATCTATTGGTAAATAGATAAAATCAATACCTATTTCAATACACCCAAACATTTCCTTGTATATGTTAGGTGAATTAAAAGAAAAAGAAGTTATCAAAGCAGTATAGCCAGCTAGATCCCAGACTTACAAACAAGTACCAAAAGTGTGTTTGAATATTAGGTGCTTAGAGTTTTTCCTCAAAGTAACTAGAGATCAGGTTTCCAATTAGTTCACAAAAGCCAATTTAAACTATGTAGCTTAACTATAGTACTAAGGTTATCACAGACTTAAATTGATCTTATTTATTTGTATCTGAGGTTCAATAGATCTCTAAGGACACATTCTCTTACACCCACACCACGGTCCCAGCACCCAGCAACTCCTTACAGTGCAGCAAACATCCACCACTCGACGTGCACTCCCCAAGTTGTGCTTAGGATTTCAGGAGAGGAAAGGATCAGAAGTTCTGACAGTCTTAGGCAACTGAGGTAGACTATGGGGGTCTCCAGAACATCTTCCAAATGCCCCAGCTCCGTGTCCCTCCCACCACATCCCAGCTCTGGTATAAGCTCAAACATGAAAGACGCTTACCAATGGTTTTTGTGTGTGTTTTTCCCATCTTTATGAATCTTTAGGAGAGACTGCCTACCAAAAACGAACGGTGGTCCACTCTACCTTTTTTTCAGATCCCCAAACTACTGCAGTTAAAAAAAATATACATCTCTCTGGCTTTATGTTATTTGCTACCGCTAAGATCAGCTGTTGATTTTATCACCTGACTGCTTTTCTCATAAGCTGTCTAGATATAAAAATTCTATTACCAACAAGTTTCTCTGCACCAAGAGAGACAGGTCAGTGCCTAGAGAAGCACGGCCTGTGGGATCTCCTATTAAATCCAGGAACTCAGGGTAAACTAGAATGCTATTCTCTAGCTTAACGCTCCGCTCTTACTGATCTCATGATGTCCTGGGAGATTATTAAGAGCCATCCTGAAGAGTACACATCAGTGGAAAGCTCAGTGAAAGCTGCTTGAAGAAGCCCCTGGGATACTCGTGTAACACGACTGCGTCACTCACCGGGACAGAATACAAACCGCCACTCCTCACAGGATGTACCCAACACAGAACGGATCTTAACAAAAGTGCTCAATTCTCAGGTGAAACCTAAGACAGCCGAGCGGGCACCAGGTTTTTAGTATAAGGCTGACCCAGTCAATCTCTCGGCTTTTTGGCTGTGTCAGCCGCCTGATCCCAAGACTCACCGGTACAGCTCCAGCAGCCTCAGGAAAGGGCTCTGTACAGCCTAAGCTTGAGGCACGAGCAGCTCACTCTTTTCATCACCATCGAGCACACGGCCTCTGGTGTGCCTGTCAAATAGGCACATCAAGTTCAGTGCAGCCCCAGGTCCCATACCAAGACTTCCCCTCAAGGGAAACCGGACCCTGCCTCCGCCACCAGCGGCCGCGCCCTCCGGATGACAGACACGCGGATTCGCGAACACGTGGCCAATATTCCTGGTTTTACACCCCCTTGCTTTTGTGCACCAGGGCAAGTGTGGGAGGTTTAAGTAAGGGAAGGGTTAGAAATCATCTCAGCATACCCTTTTCAGGTTCTGCCAGACAACCTTTATTACATCGGAAAAAGCAACACTAGGCACTAGATCTTGCAAAATATGTTCTGACCAACTCTAAACTTTCTGAAATTAAAAATGCGTAACCACTGTAAAGTTTTTAAGGAACAAAAAAGTTAAATACAAACTTTCATATGCAAAATAGATTATTGTATAACTGGCAGCCTCACAGCCAAGTACTAAATTTTCTTCCAAATTTCCGTGGGGGTGGAATGGGGGGGGATGTAAATCCTAATGAGTACAAAACTTAATTTCGGCTTTATATATATAGAAAAAAAAACAAACTTTGAGGAAAAATAGCTTTTACATTGAATAGTATCTCTTGAAATAAACAGCCCAGGCCAGCCCTTACAATTCTGAGGTTTATACTCAACCAGATCTGGGATGAAAATTAAGCTTTAGGGTTTATAGTTACTTCAAATCCAGTTTCAAGAGTAGCCAAGTCAGCTCATTCCCAGAAAGAGCAGTCTCTTTAGGATGACCACCACTCTTCTGAAGACTCCTGGATCGCCACAGTTCCTAGGCCACCGGTCCACTTTTCCACGCCCCCAGGCCAAGGCCGTAGTGTCAGACGTCCTCTGAAAGGCAGTGAGAGCCCTACCCCAGGAGAAGGTTTCTCCTCCCCGGCACTTCCAAGCCTCAAGAACGAGAGCTCCAGCTTCTAGTTGGCAGTTTCTGCTCCAGCCTTCGGGAAGTTAATTAACACTTCCTTCCTCCCCCCACTGATTCCCCTCCTGATCTTCAGCTGGGAGTGGAGCTTGATTAACATTCCTTTCAAAAATAAATAGTTCAAACAGGTAATTCAGAGTTAACTGTGGAGCAGCAGCAAACAGCCACTGCCATTATGTTTGTAAATGAGTGAGCGAATGAACACACGTGAACAAACACACAAAAAACAAATCATAGAATAAATCCTGCATTTCCCACATTCATAGGGAAAAAAAAAATCTTAAAAAAAAAAAGTATTAATTAGCGTTTGTTCTTGTGTGGGTTGAATAGTCCAGGGCTCTGAGCAGGCACAGGCTCACACACAGGGTCCACGCACCAAGTCGGGCCCAGGGTGCAGGGAGAGGCCTGCGTGCGCGTCCTACAGCCCAGTACCTGTGAGCCAGCAGGGGCGATGCGGGGACTGTTGAACCCACGATGCATGAGGTATATGGAAACATCCGTCCTCCGTGAAAGAACCACCAGCAGCTAGAGGGACCGGGCGGGGCATTCTCACAGCAACTGCTGATGAAGGATTTCCCACACCATCTTCTTCCGGAAGAGAGGCATCTGGTGCTGCAGAGGACCCACAAACGACACGTATGTTACACATTACCGTGCACAGCATCAACCTGCAAGTGTAACCAAGTAAATAACCCATGTCCTTTCTATAGCCTTGACTCTCTCATGTCATGGTTCAGACTTACAAAGCCAAAAAAAATGAGGCTATAATGTTATTATATTGCATGTATCATAAGCATCTGTACATGCTAAGGAAAATCTGAGCAGGATGCAGAATTACACATAGACTCCAACAACTACCTCATAACACAAAAACATGTGCCAAAATGGAAACACCCAAGTGATGGCATAATACCAAACTTTTCTACTTACGTACATTTTCAGAACATTCTAAAATGAGTATCTTCTGCTTTTTTGAGAAACAACATGAACTTTATTTAAATAAAGGAAAAAACATTAAAAATTTTCTATTCTACCAAATGTTGTACACTGTCAATTCTGTTCAAATGGCAACTTCAGCCCTTCAGACCTCACGTCAGCAGGTTCAGAGAGCAAATAACTCCTTGTATTCAGAAGCATCAAAGAACAGAATGCCTTAATATTCTGCTTTAAGATCATCACTACAGGAGCCAATTTTCAAAAGCAGCAGCACGCAAGACAAATCCAAATCACCTGTAATTCAACTAGTCCTCTTTTTAGTGAAATCAGAAGTTCACACCCTTGAGGTACTCCTGATGTCTCATTATAATAAGATGAATACACCACTTTATTATAAACTAGGGCTTTCCTACCTGGAGGGGCCTAACACATCTTAACACATGGATGCGTAAGTTATTTTAAATAGCTCGAAACCTGTAGTAAAAAATTACACATTTATTCTTAGTAAAACTACTCAAACTAACCAATTAATAAGCGCCTTTATTTTAGACTAGAATTGTCTTAATTCAGCATGGGAGCCCTAGAAACGTGAAAGAGGGTTATTAGTCCTATTCAATAAGTACAGTTTGGTAGACAACATTTATCAAAATGAGGTCTCTTTAGGAAAAATGTGTCTTACAGGGGTTGTCTTCAGTTACACAAAGGTTGAGAATCCACTATTACAGATTAATTCTCAAGAGTTCCCAACACACTCTAATAATCCCCACCCAAATGGAGAACCCCAAATAACCAGCACAGAAGGGAAAAAGCAGTATTTGTAGTTACAGCTTACACCTGTGGCTTAAATTCTCACGAGGCCTGATTTTCCAGAGGGAAAAATCTTACATGCCTCCTCCTTTAGCTAGAAATATCAGTAATACTCAGGAATTAGAGAGCTCCAGAGTCCAGACATATGCAAATTGTCTCACTGGTCACCAAAGACTAAACATAAGAGCAGTGGCAGTGACAAACCCTGATACCAGCAAGAGCAGGGCCATGGCCAAGGGTTACGGCAATAATAATAGTGGCACAGCCACCATTATTAAGACCTTAATGTGACCCAGGCACTGGTAACATGCTCTAAGTTTATCTGGTTTAGAAACAAGTAAGTAGGTGAGGAGGGATCTTCACTCACCTGAGTAAATGTGATAGGTTTGTCCCTAGAGATATAATCTGCATATTTACAAGTAAACATTCCACAATCACTCCCATTTAACTGTTGAGGAATCTCCTAAAATTACAAAAAAAAAAAAAAAAAAAAGGGAGAAAAAGGGATAAAATTTCATCACACACAAACTCCTTTGACTTCTTACAAATATTCCCGTGGATAAACAATATTATAAAGGTGTACGTTAAAGGTACTACACAAACACAGTCTTTATGTTGTATAAAAACCCTAACCATGACATGAAGTATGTGACCCACACAGAAAATATTTTTTTGGAAAGAAAAAAAAAAGCAAAGTGAGAATTCCTTCTCTCAGCTCTCCTATCAAGAAACCAAACTGAAAGAAAGTTTACTACTAGGAACAGGAATTCTAGTCAGAATGGTTTCAGAAGCACTTTATAACTTTTGAAAAGGGCTAAATGTGAGGAGCACCTGGGTAGCTCAGTCGGTTAAGCTTCCGACTTTGGCTCAGGTCGTGACCTCACAGTCTGTGGGTTTGAGCCCCGTGTCGGGCTCTGTGCTGGCAGCTTGGGGCCTGGAGTCTGCTTCGGATTCTGTGTGTGTCTCTCTCTGTCCTCCCCGCCACTCACACTTGGTCTCTCCCTCTCTCAAAAATAAACATTAAAAAAATTTTTTTCTGAAAAGGGCTAAATGTGGCACAATCAGAAACACATACAACACAACGAACCTACTTGAAGACTGCAGGGTTTAGCTTCTCTAGCCAAGAAAATAGGATGAAAACTTTCAACCCCCACAACAAGCAGGAGAAAGAAAAAAGCTTCTTGATAGGCTTTAACTAACCAAGATCTTGCTCCGATGGCTCAGTTTTGTCCTAAGCAAGAGCCCAGCTTCCTGCAAGCAGTGCTAAAGGCGTCATAAACCGATCTAAGTGAGGTAAATTCACACACTCCCCAGGCCTCTGCTACCCTGATCTTGGCCAGACCCTACACACTTTGGCTGCCGGCTCAGCGGAGCACAAGACAATAACAAGAGAGAGTCTGAACCCCTGCTGGAAAACATTCTAGATGACAACAGCTAACTTTTATTCAAAGAAATACAGAGGATTGTGAAAAAAGAAGACTGTTTGAACATGTGTGACACCCACGCACATGGTAGGTAGCTCGTGCTTTTCTCCTGAGCACAGCAGCTCTCACAGAGTGGAGAACTATGGACACCGATACACAAAGGAAGAGAAGTTGTTTTCTTTATCACATTCCCCACACCAGAACGTGGCATTCGTCCTAACAGACTCTCCTTATATCTCCTTATATCTCTCCTCAGGAAATTTCAAAGCTCAACCTTTAAATCATTCAACTTAGAAAGGAAAATCCTGTGGGACAGGTGAGCCATTATACACAGGTGAGGGCTAAAATTGAATTCATGTGGCTTACTTTTAAAAGAAGCCATTAGGACTCAAAATGTATGCAATCTCCAACCCCGAATGAGATTCAAATCTGGCAAGTATAATACAAAGCATATTCACAAACAGCGTACTTGACTCTTTTGAGAACCTGTGGCACGGGACCCTTAAGATCTAAATAAACAAAATTCTCAGAGAAGTAACAAGAACTTTAAACCTTCATTAGCTCCAAACAAGAAAAGTGGCTGACTTTAACCTATTTGCTTTTCTGAGAAACATACTAGCATGCAGTTAACGTTTACAACTTAAACAAGAAATAAGGCTAAGAAGCAGGCATCTTAGTTAAATCTTGCCTTTCTCAAGATTTAGAAGTAGGTAATAATTCTTAAGAGTACACTTCAGGAGAATGCATGCCTAAGGGTATGAGTGAGTGAGGGGAGGGAGGAAGCCAAGTCTACTAACAGGCCTCTGTCACTAAATGCAAGAAAGCACTTCAGATACAGACGGATCATTACTTACATGTGGCTTCATGCTGTAGTGGGTCCACTCTAAAAGATTTAGATCAATATTTCTTTTGGTCTTACTTTCATCCTGTAAATACTGACTAAAAAAACAACAAAGAAGGAATATATTGATGAATCCCTGTGGAGACTTACCATTCTGATTACAAAGGACATTACAAACGATGTTAACAGACATGCTATTCACAAATCCATCTCCATTAGCTTTTTTAAAAATGTGATTGCTTCCGGTTTTTAAATTGAAGTTTTTCCTTATAAAAACTGTACATGCTTTAGAAAATTAAAACCTGTAAAATGTCATATGCAAAAGACCTTATAATAGCCACTCCAGAAGTAATTACTATTAATAGTTTGCTGTGTATTCTTCTAGCTCTCCACCCCTAACACACAATGTAAAAACATACACTTTATCCTATTTTTAAAAGGACTTCATTTTACAACTCGCTTTTTCTCACTTAACAATAGACATAAAATGTGGTGGGGGATGGGTGAAGCGGGTGAAGGGGATTAAGAGGACACGTATCGTGATGTGCACAAATAATGTTCTATAATTGTCGAATCACTAGGTTGGCTGTAGTGCACACCTGAAACTAATAAAACACTGTATGTTACCTATGCTGGAAGTTAAACAGAAAGATAAACCAGAAGGTACCTATATACTTGTGGTAAGCACAGCATAGCTATAGAGATGTCAAATCACTAAGCTATACACCTAAAACTAATGTACCATTATGTGTCAACTACACTTCAATTATAAATAAATAGATTAAAAACAACGGGCCTAGACTCAAAACAAAAAGAAAAACAAAAAGAAAAAAACGAAAAAAAAAATGTCATTGCCATGAGAAACAAAAAAAGGAAGACTATTTCAAATTAGACGAAAAAGACATTAAGTCCATGTGTGAACCTGACTGGCTTCCTGGATTTAGAAAAAACTATAAAACATACCTGAAGAAACCAGAACATGAACCATATGTTACATATGACTGATTGCTAATGTTCTTAAGTGTGATAATGACATTGTGATTATGTAAGGAAACTTCCTTGTTTCTAAGAGATATATACTTAAGTATTAAGAGTGATTTAAGGGGCACCTGGGTGGCATAGTTGGTTAAGCATCTGATTCCTGATCTCAACTCAGGTCATGACCTTGTGGTTCGGGGGTTCAAGCCCCACATCAGGCTCTGCGCTAATGGCGCAGAGCCTGAGATTCTGTCTCTCCTTCTCTGCTCCTCCCCTTCTTGCGTGCATGTGTGCACTCTCTCTCTCAAAATAAACATAAAAAAAAAAAAAAACTATTTACAAAAAAAAAAAAAAAAAAGAGTGATTTAATTTTATCCAGATCTCCCAAGGGTCATCAAATTCAACCCAGGCATCTGGGTTCTCACCCTAAGCTGCATGTAAAGTAAACCAGCATGGGTTTGCTAGGGCATGCACTCTCAGTGGGAGCATTACCAGCCCCAAGCTGTAGAAATTGGTTCTGGGAAGGCAAAAATCTTACATATTTCAATGGTTTGTAGCCCTCTAAACCCAACAAAACAAAAAGTCTTATTCCTTAGCACTATTTTGTCTTGCCATGGAGGAATTAAATTTTTCTCTGGGCAGGGGAACTAATAATGCAAAAAAAGTTCAGAAAAGCTGAACCAGGAGCATCAGGAAAGGGAGAGGAACTCGGATACCCACAGGAGGGGGGGGGGGGGCGGCGCAGAAAAAGAAGAAGAGTGAATGTAACAGAAGTATGATTTTTTTTGTAACTTTTTTGTAACTGTAACAGCAGCTTACTTTGCTGTCTGATTTCAGTGAGAACATTTCTATGTATGTGATATTACATATGCGTATGTGCACATGTAAGTATGTGTGCACATTTTATATACATCCTAAACAAAACAGACTAGGAGGAAATAACTGCTTTATAAACAATTTGGTGTATCTTCTGATTTTTTAAAATCTTTTTTCTCTTCTGTTTAAACTTTCTATTCAAGATAAATACCTATAAATAAAGGATTTTTACACTAAAATAATATTGAAAAAGAGAGAATTGAACTGTTGTTAATAACAAATTTCTTTGTTGATCATTTAAAAGGCTCCTTACTTAAGTATCCTTATGAAAATTATCCAAGTATCTTTACTAAAATTACAAACAAGAACCCCCATTTGCGTCTGGTGAGCCAAAGGGGTTCAAAATAGACTGCTTTTACTGAACTACTTCCTCACTGTGAAAATCATGTCAGCACGTTACACAGCTAATAAGTGGCTATGGTTTAAAGGCAGGTTTCTAGCAATTACTGTTTGAAATAGTTGCCTACAAACCATATCCATATGCTTGAATTTAAAAGTTACCTCTTGGTTCTGAGATGAACCCAACCATCATGGAAATCACAGGGACATGACTGGGTTTAAGAATCAGGGGCGCCTGGGTGGCGCAGTCGGTTAAGCATCCGACTTCAGCCAGGTCACGATCTCGCGGTCCGTGAGTTCGAGCCCCGCGTCGGGCTCTGGGCTGATGGCTCAGAGCCTGGAGCCTGTTTCCGATTCTGTGTCTCCCTCTCTCTCTGCCCCTCCCCCATTCATGGTCTGTCTCTCTCTGTCCCAAAAATAAATAAACGTTGAAAAAAAAAATTAAAAAAAAAAAAAAAAGAATCAGAGAAATAAGAGTCTCTAGCTAGGGGTGCCTGGGTGGCTCAGTCAGCTGAGTGTCCGACTCTTGATTCCAGCTCAGGTCATGGTCCCAAGGTCGTGGGACCGAGTCCCCATTGGGCTCCAAGCTGAGCATGGAGCCTGCTTAAGACTCTCTCTCTTTCTCCCCCTGCCCCTCTCCCTCACTTGTGCTCTCTCTCTCTAAAATAAAAAATAATAATAAAAAAAAGACTCCCTAGCTAACAGTTCTTTAGAACATTCAGAAGAATGTATCAATCCCAAAGAAACCTAATTCAAATCACAGGATTCTATAAGATATATTTTATATTATAACACATGATAAACTTGTTTCTAATGATGCTACTAAATAAAACTTCTCAGTTAAGATCAGATATTAGGTTCTTTTTTGACAAGAAGATGAATTCAAGTCAATTCCTGAATAACCGAGAAGATAGCCTTCACTTAACATTAGACCATCACCCAACAGAGCCTCCTAGGGTTGGATAGAAGATAGACCACCTAACAAGAGCATAATGACCCAACAGTGAAGTTTTTTAGCCTTTACTTACAGGAGAATCTCACAGATCCTGTGGCCCTTTTGTCCCATAGAATCCAGATATTTGAGACACCTTTTTCGTAGGTCTATCACCTATAATGGAAAATTACAACATCCAGAAACATCTTAACCACAACAGGAGAATTTTATTTCTAAAAATAAAGCCTCTTTTAAAAAGTCAATACACATATCAACATAAATGGATGTCTAAGACACATTTTTTTATAAAATATCACAGATGATATGAGCTTCATTTCTATAAAGTTATATATTTCAATTCCTGGAAAAAAGCCTAGAAATTTACCAAAACATTAGTGGTCTTCTCAAAATGAAGAGATTTTTTGTTTTTTTTGCTTTTTGCTTTATATCTGTACTTTTCTATAATAAATCTGTACCTTCTTGTAAACAAAACTAAGGAAATCAAATAAAGAGCACATATGTGTTACTAAAACCCTTTCCTGTCTTCCTGTATGCCATCTAGTTTTCTAAGCTGTTCAACTCAAGAACAAAAAAGGACTCTACAGAGTACACTTTATATGTACTACTGGACTTTAACTGGACAGAAAAGGGTAGACTTCCTTATCCAAGAAAACAGCTATTACAGAGGTGCCTGGGTGGCTCAATCAGTTAAGCGTCTGACTCTCGGTTTCAGCTCAGGTCAAGATCTCATGATTTGTGGGTTCAAGCCCCACATCAGGCTCTGTGCTGACAGCATGGAGCCTCTTGGGATTCTCTCTCTCAAAAATAAGTAAATAAACATTTATTATTTATTTATTTATTTTTTGTTTTAAAGTTTCTTTCAAGAGAGATAGTGGGAGTGGGAGTGGGGGGGCAGAGAGACAGGGAGAGACAGAATGCCAAGCAAGCTCTGCACTATCAGCACAGAGCCTGACATGGGGCTCAATCATGACCTGAGCCCAAATCAAGAGTGGAACGCTTGACCGACTGAACCATCCAGGTACCCCAATATATAAACATTTACAAGAAGAGAGGAGGGGAGGGAAGGGGAAGGAAGGGGAGGGAAGGGAACACAGCCATTATATAAACTCCAACCATTACCCCTCTCAACTTACCACCAGGCTCCAATGTACCTTCCGATGAATAGGCACCAGAATAAGTTCCTGTTCAAAGAGATTGACCCCTTTGGTCCATCTTTTCACTGCTTGGTAACCACCAGACTTTAATTTGGGATAGAAAAAAGTACTGAATGCATGAAGTGCTGGATACCCTTGTTTTTTGTTTCTTTCCACCAGAAGATTCATGTAAAAATTAATGACCTGTAATACCAAGGGAGTAAACATCAGAACACAGCAAGTACATTACCCAAACTACATTTCTACCTAACTGAATTAGGATGAATTGGAGATAAGAAGCTCCAAGAAAAGAAGGTACTAGAGATGGGGATGAAAGGGCCGCTTACTGCAGAAAATGGAAAATAAAAGATAATCAGGGCAAAATGGGAGGGACTCAGAAGGAGTGAAATTGTACTTTTGAACCATGTGAGTAAGAGAGCCATGGGAAGGAACTCAAGGAGAAAGTCTGCAATAATGAAAAGGTGTATGTAACTATATCACACACAATAATATGCAAAATATGAAACAGAACTGAATCTTACTATTTATAAATTTTACTACATATAAAAATATTAACAGGAAGAAAATATACCTAAACATTAACATTTTGTTTATCTGTGGTGGCACTTTTGAATGATATTTTTCTTTCACCTTTCCTGTATTTTCCTAATGTTCTATAATAAATATATAACATTTATAATGTAAAGCAAAAATTCTACTTTTACAAGAATGTGCTTATGGGTCATTAGTCATTGGCGGAGAGAGGAGGAAGGCAAAGGGGGAAAATGCAGGGACTTTGGGGAGTTAGGGAAAGGAAAGCTAGAAAACATGCAAGAAGTAAAAACTCATTTTAGCTAAGTATGTAAGGATACAAGACGACAATTAGGCAAATTTTTGCAGTTATTGCACAAATAAAGAAAAAAGACATTTTACATATACATTTATGCACAATGATCAATCTATTTATCATTGAAAAGATAAAATGGCTCTTATAAGAATTCATCTAAAATGAAGTATCACTTGCTGCTTCCTTCAACTCATCAGCTACACCCAAGGTTTATCAAAATGTCACTGGCTGGCTTAGTCTATAGAGCATGTTGACTCTTGATCTCAGGGTTGTGAGTTAAACACCATGTTGGTCATAGAGTTTACTTAAAAACAAATAAATCAATCTGTAAAAAAAAAAAAAAATGTACTGAAAACTACTAGTAAATGAAGTGGTGGATGAAACAAAGCACCGATGCAGAAGAGGGAACCAATATTAATTAAAGGCAACAAACAATCAGAATTGACTACCATTTTAAGGTTTGAAATGTTTCTGGTTTTTTACTTATTTATTTTTTTTATTGTTTTGAGAGGAGGAGAGGGGCAGAGAGAGACAGACAGACAGAGAGAATCACAAGCAGGCTCCACACTGTCAGCACACAGCCTGATGTGCTGATGTGGGGCTCAAACTCACAAACTGAAATCATGACAAGGTGCCCCTGTTTTGTTTTGCTTTAATGTTTATTTATTTTTGAGGGAGAAAGAGAGATAGAGCATGAGCAGGGAAGGGGCAGAGACAGAGAGGGAGACATAGAATCTGAAGCAGGCTCCAGGCTCTGAGCTGTCAGCACAGAGCCCAAGGCGGGGCTCGAACCCACAAACTGTGAGATCATGACCGGAGCCGAAGTAGGACACTTAACCAACTGAGCCACCCAGGCACCCCATGAAGTGTTTCTGTTTTAAATGAAACTAAAAGTGCGTTATTATAACTGGGTAGAAGTCACTTTGGCTGTGGACAGTAACGGTTAAGCATAATGACAGAACAGGGAGGGGAGGGAGAGACAACTTACTTCATCATTGAGCCAATGATAGTTCTTCAAGGTCTGTATATCTCCTCGAGTGATTCGCAACTTGAAAGCGCTACTTAGGATCTCATCCTGTGGGCCATGACCCAGGGCATTACTGATCTCCTTTTCCATGTCCTGAATTAGAAAGTCCAGAGGTTGTATTTTAAATAGAACCAACAGTCAGATTTCAAAAGTCTGAAATTTAAAAAAGCTTTTCATCTCTGTAATACAAAGTAGACTTACTAATGGTTATAAAAAATGTTAGTTCAATTACTAGCTTCTGGAAACAATAATTTGGTAATAACATTTATATTTATAATTTCAATGATCTCACTACCATTTACTGAGCACTCTGAGCCAAACATGGTACCAGATGCTGAAGCACATCATTAATCCCTGCTTGTGGGGAAAGTATTATCACCATTTTACATAAGAAGTAAAGCTCAGAGAACTTAGGTTACATGTTCACAGTTATTAAGAGCCCAGCCTGGAACCCAGGGGTGTCTAACTTTCTAGTCTTTGCTCCTTTCACAATACTCTTAAAGTATTTTGACACTTTCCTTATTTACCTACTAAACTTTTATTTAAACATAGCAAAGTAATAAAATTAGGACCCGTAAGAGATGATACTATGCAGTTTGGAAATGAAGGAAATAAGCAAACAGGGAGAAACTGGAAAACAAGGCACTGGTCCAGCAACTGAGTCCTCACTGAATAGATGGCTTCTTTACTCTGAAGAATTACACAGATAAACGCATATTCAAGCTACTGAGACTGAATCTATAAACCCAATAGAAATTATTTTCATTCAAGTATTTTAAATCCTGCTTCTCCCACTACACACAATTGTGCTATTTTATGGATCTCTCTACTTGCATGTCCAACATACAGTAGGTGCTCAACAGATACTCACTGCTTAGGACTGACTACCACCTACCAATACAACATTGGAAAATAAGCCACAATGTGGGCTCACCTTTAAAATGAGAATTTACAACTATTTTCATTTCCTTAGTTTTTCACTAATCACTTTTAAAAAATACAACGGACTCATTTCTAATGCTAAACTCATACTATGTAACCCAAAATATTTGAAGGTTAGGGAAAAAAATCTACAAAGAACCCATTATATTCCGAGATATGTGACACATATGTCTGCTCACATTTGCTGAACATTAATCTGATCCTTTAGGCCACCTTCACAGATCACTAATGATCAATGTAACCAGTGACTGGACAGCCCTTAGGCCTGATTTGTTTCATACACTCATCCCTAGCCTGGAGAAACGCCTCAAAACAAAACATTTGTTCAAGTCTTGAATAACTGGGGCTACTTAAAAACACACCTCTTATTCTGATCAACACAAGAAATAATACCTCTGTAAGTTCAAGAAGATCATCCATCCTTTTATCCCTCTCTTTGCCCGAGCAATGTTTTTCTTTTGTCTCAAGTATTGACATTTTCCTCCTGAGTAAGCCATTGCTCCCATTGCCCAGGCGGAGTCGGGCCGACACCTCTTCGGATAGGTCAGGTTCCAGTTGGTGTCCCCTCCTCTGATCAAAAAAGTTTCTATATTCTATTGACATGTTTGATATTTACACATATAAACATACATAACACATGAAACATAAAACAGTGCCATTATCCTGAAAGAAGAGAGAAAGCAAATCTCCCAAGTAAGTAAAGGAGATTTTGTGTATCTATCTCTGCAAGGTGAAACAAAAAAATGTTCAAGACCTAAGGTTCACAGGACACCTCAATTACAAACCATGAAACAGAACACTCATCACTTTCCCTGGAGGCAGCAAGGAAAGTATTTTCAGCTCTCTTATGCCAGTGGAAAAATAAGACGGTTATAGGACATTCTGAAATGTTTAAAAAAAGCAAAAAAAAAAAAAAAAGACCCATAATCCCATCACTCAGAATAAAGCATTACGATCCTTATAATAAGTAAACTTGTTCTATTTCATCTTTTAAGAAAAATAATTACTCATATAGAAAAATGTACATTTATGTACCACTTAATTTTTTGTAAAATTAACACCTATGTAAGCACCATTTGGGTCAACAAATAGAACTCTGCCAACATTCCAGAAACTCTGACAATACCCTTCCATATTGTGACCCTATGTAATGTTTAATATTAAATTTCAGTTATCTAGTAGACCAACTTTTAAAATTAAGAAACTGAGTTACAAATAGAGCTTCAGACTAGGACCACACTAGTCTCAACATGCTTAGCCTGTACTCTTCACTCTAGCTGACTGCCAGGTATACTGGTCCTAGGAAACCAGCAGCTGCTGGCCCCTCCCCACATTCCCGGGGAGCAAAGCCTTCAGGTTCAGCAAGAATAGAAGCAAGAGATAGTTGGGTTCTTTTGTTTGTTTTGTTTTGTTTTTAATGTTTATTTATTTTTGAGAGAAAGAGAGAGAGTGTGAGCCAGGAGGGGCAGAGAGAGAGGGAGACACAGAATCCAAAACAGGCTCCAGGCTCAGAGGTGTCCGCACAGAGCCCAACGAGGGACTCGAACCTATGGACCACCAGATCATGACCTGAGCTGAAGTTGGATGCTTAAGCGACTGAGCCACCCAGGCGCCCCAGCAGGACGTAGTTTTTAGCCAGGTTCCAAATATGCTCCCTCTCTTTCCTCTCTCAGGCTTAGTTCCTCTCTTCTTTCAGTTTGTGCTCCATAGGTGATAAATGCTAACTCAATACAAAAGGCTTCGCTCCAAATTACTGGGGATGGGAAAGTTCTGAGACCTAGAACTTAACGAATGACTTAGCCTTCAGACTAATTCTTACAAAAAGGTCTAATGGGAGAAGAAAAACTTGATTACACTGGTACTTCACATCAATCAGTGTCCTAAACTCTGGCATTTCCATGTATCTAAAATGTGAAGTAATCCAAAACTTCAAGCTCGCATTTAATTTAGTAATGTATTTCTTTTGGATACAGAGTGTTTAGCAAAGCACTCTACTACTATTGTTTAAAATGTTAGTGTTGGTATGGGGATCACTAGAACACTTTTTGTTCCAATACTTACATAGAAAAACATTAAATCCAATTAAGCCTAAGACTGCTAATATTTTCAAATAAATCTGAGATCTTGACTCTGAAAAGAAATCCTGAACCTATTTTTGCTAGAGACATACGGTTTTTAAAAATTCTCCAAAAGAAGCCAGGCAACACAGATAAGGGTTTGGATGGAGGCAAGTTGGTCTCTCTCACAAAAAAAGGTGGCTACCATACAGAGGTAAAACCCCAGGAATTCAGAAGGAAGCCAGAAGTTGTGTATCTTCAATGCCTGCTGCTTTTTCAAAGAAAACAACAAAATTAGAAATCAAAGTAATATTTTTCATCTTTCTTACTTGTCACGAGCACCAAAACTTTAACGTGAATCAGCTGAAAGAGTAAAATGATATAACATTGAACTAGGGTTTCCACTTACACCTTCATTTTCAAGTCTGAGTCCAACTGTCCTCTCTGTATCAGAAATTTTCCCCTTTGAACAACACCTGAGGAAAAAAATTGGGAGAGTGTAGACTGGATATATACTTTTTAATGTTTATTCATTTATTTTGAGAGAGAGAGAGAGTATAAGCGGGGAACGGGCAGAGGAAGAGGGAGAGGGAGAATCCCAAGCAGGTTCCATGCTGTCAGCGCAGAGTGTGACACTGGGCTCAAACCCACAAACCATGAGATCATGACCTGAGCCGAAATCAAGAGTCGGACACTTAGCCGACTGAGCCACCCAAGCACCTCTAGACTGGATTAATTTTAACCTGTAAATGATACACTAGTTTTAGAAATAAGACTTAATAATTTGTAAATAAAAACTGCCTTGAGTTTATATAGTCCTCTAAACCAAGAGTCAGCAAAGTTTCTGAAAAAGGATCAGATAGTCAATATTTTAGGCTTTGCAAGTCTTGTGGGTTTTTTAAGTAATCTCTATGTCCACCATGGGGCTCAAACTCACGACTCTGAGGACCCCAAGATCAAGAGCCACATGCTTTACCACTGAGCCAGCCAGGTGCCCCAAGTCTTAGAATTTTTGTCACATTTTCTCAACTTCCATCATAGCTTAAAAGCAGCCAAACAACATGTAAATGAATTAGCATGAATGTGTTCCAATAAAACTTTACTTAAAAAAATAGGCAGGTGGACCAGATTTGGACAATGGCCCATAGTCTACCCCAAACTCTGTTATCAAGGAACTATCATCCAAAATACTAAGGGCACACAGAACTGCCTTCACTGTTTTTATACTAGAGGTGCTAATGCCTAAAGATGCCTACCACAACCACACTCCTATCCAAGTGGTACCTGCCTGCATCTCCCAACCCCTAAAGCCCAGAAGAGAAGAGCACCCTCTGAGCTAGGGTGGGCATTAGATACAACAGCTACCCGTGTACCCATATATGCTAACCAGCTACAAGAGCTAAGTAGAGTTCATAAGTCTTTAGACATAGTTATTCATAAAAATAGCTTACAAAGAAAATAATCCATCAAAAGAAAACTTAGAATGAACTGAACCATGTACCTCTTCTCACTTCTCACTGAGCATAGAGGTCCCCTCGTTTCAACAACTCTATCTGCGAAGATGACAAAGAAAAGATTGAATGTTTCCTTTATTAACCAACCATATAGCTAGAATTTCAACTTACGCAGTTTCCAAAGTATCAAGACATTCACTTATCATTTAGTGCCGTTAGTGAACAGCCAGTGGAGAAATATGAAGAAATTAACAAAATAAATATTAAGAAACTAACTCTAGGCTCACAAAATACTTGCTATGTAGAAGCTAAGAATAACAATCAAGAGGTATTTTATGAATCTACTTCATCTTGAAATCGCTTTTTTACTAAAGTACTTGTACTGAATAAGACCAAGTCAATGCCCTGGGTCAACAATGTTTTAAAGTTTGGTACACCATCTTTCACTAGCACATCATTTCTCAATTTCGTATGCACATGAACTAAGGTCAATACATGGAGATAGGGCTAAATCTGGGAACTCACATTGTTTTGGAACAAACTGAGTTGTTTTGACTCCGTGACTTTGTTCTTCCCCCCAGCCTTTGGTCTTTAATGTGTCCATGTGACTTCTTTGAGAGCTTAGAAACATAAAAAGTGAAGAAGGTTAAATACAAAAGGAAAGTCCACCATAAATATTCATGATCTCCGACTGACAAGCTTCTCGAAATAGGAGTTATTGATTACCCTGTAACTTCAAAATTATGAGAGGATGCAACATAGTAACATCTGGGACTTGGATACAAGGAGTGTAATCCTGATCCTAATACCTCAGCCAAGTTACCTAACCTCCAGTTTCTCTGTAAAATTGGACGTTCTCAATCCCCAGCACCACCCTGACTAAAAAAACCTCAGTGTGATAAAACTCAGGTTAAAAGATGAAAAATTTTAAATGATATAATGAAATGGACCCTGAAACCATACAATAAAAGCAGGACTGTAAATGGCAAAATAGTTTGAGGATTTTGCCAACATGACAAAAGCAAAAGCTCAGGAAGCATACTGCTGCTTCCAACAGTGGCTAATCAAAACGGAGAAAATAGTAACATTCTGCCTAAGAGAATAAAAAAAAAAGCTCACAGACAGCAAGTTAAAATTCCTAGACAAATAATCTTCTGCTATTTGTACATTCAACAAGCTAGACAGTCCTGTGACTTTTTCACCTTCAACTTGCCGTTACATGATTTCCAGGATCTTCCCCACCCCCACCGTGTATTCTCACACCACTTGTTAGAATTATCACCTGTGCCTCAATCCTGAGCTCATATATTTTTTGTCCCTTTTTTACAGGCTAATATAAGGCCAGACATCAGCTCCTTCTGCCACTGTCATCTATTTGCCCAAAACACTAGAATATTTAATTAACAAACAAGAAGCCTTATAAGGAAAACTTTCTATGACCTGGGGTGACTTGAATCTTGTCTCTGAAGTGGAGGACTTCCAATTGTGCAAAAATGCATTCACTAACATGCCACTGGGACTGTGTGTATATCTGACAGAGAAGCTGGGGTGGGAGGGAGAACTGGGCTGAAAAGGGGAAGGAGGGAGAAAGGGACAGAGAAAGACAAGAGATTGTGGGAAATGTGTGTGCTGGAGTGTTCGAAAAACCTCTCTGCTCAGTAAGAACCTGACTTCAACCTGTAATTCTACTTTTCTATATCAGAGTTTCAAGAGTTCATGTGAACAAAAGAGTCTAAAGCTGACAGAAAATTCTGTTTTGCAAAACCACTGCCGTGTGTCTCATTACTAGATACAACGTTCAGGCATATAACAAGGCTAATTCTCTCAAAGCTAACCTCTTTTTTCAACAAAGCCCTTCTCACCAATCCCCTCTCCAAAAATAAGGAAAAAGATGTCTGGCAAAGCATTTATTTTGTTAGCTCATTTCTACCTGTGATAAGTTGAAGTTACAGAAGGAACAGAGTTTCCATGACCACCTTCTTTAAGTCGCTCCAATAACCTTCGGTATTTCTCCCTTTCCTCTTTCTGAACACCCTAAGTAAAAGAAAGCATGTTAGTTAAGTACTGTAACATTAAACCTATCATTAAATCATAAACAGAAACTAAGAGGTCAAATGCCGCCCACAAACGTGTTTGTCAGCATTTAAAAAATTTCTTTGAGTTCCCAACTTTATAAATCTGAAAAGAAAAATCCAAACATCTGGCCTGTTTCAAAAAAACTGAATCAACAATGTGGAGCTGTGTAGGGCTATTCTCCTTAGATGGGCCGTTCACTCCAGCCCACTTCACTCATTTGTGTTACCTGCTTGACTCAGATGGCATCTAGGTTTTTGACAGCAGTTTTTTGTCAACCACAAAAAACTCAACGGAAATAATCCACCTGCATATTTAGAACATTCAGCTTCCACAGTGAATATGGTCTCACTAAGTCACCAATGACTTCCATGGCCAGACCCAGCAGACACTTCTTCAGCCCTCATGTCACTCGACCACTCTCTCTGGCATCTCACCCTGCTGACCTCACCTTGCCTTCCTAGACTATACACTCCTGATTTCTTCTTATCTTCTTAGTCTCCACTGCCAATTATTTCTCCTTCTGCCTGCCCTCAAATACAGGCAGTCTGCCTGTCATCTCTTCTCACACTACATTCTCTCCCTGAGTCATCTCTCCCTTGATTTATTGAACACCAATACACAGAAGATACTGAAATGTGTCTCTAACCCTGCCTTCTTCTTATAACTCCCATCACCTATATCCAAGAGTCTACAGACAGGTCTTGCGGTTTCACAGGCACTTTAAACAATGTCCCAAAACTGAAGTCATCAACTTCCCCCTACACACACTGGGTATCTTGGTCAATGACCAAGACTGAAATCTGAGACTCAGGCTCTTCTCTCTAGCTTTGTATTACACTTAACCAATGAAAATGTCCTTGCTAATATTACCTTCTAACATTTCTAGAATATATCCTGTGTGCACCTCATATATATTTGCTCAGTCTCATCTCTGACTTCTCACCTAAGAGGTACTGAAGCCTACTTCCATCCCTTCCTCCCTCTGCTTGCCTCTGTTGATTCACCTAGTTAGGCACAAGCTCCGAGAGGATGGGGGCTACATTTTATTCAATTTTTGAATTGAACTGAATTGAATTTGAATTGAATTGCTGACAACTAGCACAACACCTGGGCCTCAAATAAGTAATTCTTAGACAAATTGAACTAAGTGGCTCAGAAAACCATCCAGCAAATTGCACTAGGTGATGGTCCTAAGAAATGCCATGGATACACGAATAATTCTAAATTTTCCTAGAATAAGCAAAGATTTCAAGAGGGAAGTAAAAAGAAGACTGTTGATGAAGACATCATGCTAAGTACCCTGAAAAGGGAAGGAAAAAGCAGACGTGTTCACCATTTACTTCTCTTAATTAGCCACAGTTATTACACCTTATGAAAGAAACAAGTTAAAATAATTCAAACAGCAAAAAGGAATACAATCTCCTCTCTTTCTAGCATGATTTCTTTTTCTGTCCCACAGTGAAAAAGAATCTGAAAACTGACTAACTTATATATGTATAGAAGCCTCCAGAAGTATCAGTGGTTACTTGTTTAGCATCAGACATGGTGGTGGGGCCGCGCACTAAAAGGGAGACTGGGAAATGTACAGTGTACATCCTTTTCGTACCTTTTGAATTTTGTACTCCAGTACACATACTATCTATTCCCCTAAAAATTCACAAAATATTTTTTAAAAGAGATCAGGCTAAAACGGCTTACCTCCTCCACAGTACAGTGGGGACGCCTCAGACCCTTGCCACCCTCTTCAGAAATCATCTCTGTTACAACCTGTTCCTGAGGCTTCCAGGTTAAAGAACTTTCTGAAGGGCCTTTGCTGTGGCGACGGCCACCGGGTCTTCTACTATACCCTTCTGAGTTCAAAGTAAAACTGTGAGACAGAAAAAAAGAAAAGAAAAAGTTATCGCCAAACTGCTTAAATTGCCATTATTTAATCTCCCAAACCATCCTGTGATTAAGCTGTCTGTCCTAGGTTGAGTCTGCTCCTGGCAAACCAGAAAACTACCACTCACAACAGTTAAATCTGTCTCTAAAGTGGAGGGCACCCCAGCATTCCGCCCTGGAATGTCTGTTTGCAGCCAACAGGGCTGCCACATGGAAGCCTCTGCCTTCTTTCTCATGCTCACATGTCCAATTTAGGATTGGTTATTTAGGTGTGTTATTACACATACCCTCCTCAGACACTACACTCTCGCTTTAGTCACCTGCACCAGTGGCATTACTGATTCGTGTGACTCCCTGTTTACTGTGTCTATCCCACACTAAACTTCAAATTCCATGAAAACAGAGATGACATCTTTTCACCACTGTACCCTAGTACAGGACCTAAGCCAAAAGGCACTCAGTAAATATCCACTGAATACTGAATTAATGAATGCTAAAGAAATGGAAGCCATGAAGCCCCCACCCAGTCCTTGTTGCTGGTGACACAGCCTGCTTCTCCTGATGTCATCAGTAATGCGTCAAACTGGTATCATACCCCTCTTGATGAGATATTTTAAAGAAGATAAACCACTGATGTAGTATTTTTACAAAACGAAAAAAACCAAACAAACAAAAAAACACTGCATAATCTTGAAAAAATAATAAGTAAACATCAGACAAAATTAAAGAACGTTCTACAAAAGAAATGCCTTCTACTCTGTAAAAATATCCATGCCATCAAGGACAAAGAAAGGCTAAGGAATTGTTCCAGATTAAAGGAGATCAAAAAGACATGAAAATTAAATGTAATACATGATCCTGCACTGAATCCTTGACCAGAAAAAAAAATAATCTCTATAATGGAAAAATTTTAATGAGATTATAGAATAGTATTGTACCAGTGTTAAATTTTCTGGTTTTGTTAATCTGTGATTATGTAAGTGAATGTCCTCACTCTTAAGAAATAAACACGCTCATGAGCTTATGATTAAAGGAGCATGAGCCTAAGACTTACTCTCAAAAGCTTCAGAAAAAAATATTAGGTATATATGACAGAGCATGATGAAGCAAATGAGGCAAAATGGTAATAACTGGTGCAAGAGGGGGAGGGGCAGAGAGAGAGGGAGAGAATCTCAAGCAGGCTCTACGATGTCAGCACAGAGCCTGACACAGGACTCAATCTCATAAACCATGAGATCATGACCTGAGCCGAAATCAAGAGTCAGATGTTCAACTGACTGAGCCACCCAGATGCCCCTATAGAGTTTTAAAATACATAAAGACAAAATACATGAAGCAAAAACTGACATAACTAGATGGAAAAATAGACACATCCATAATTATAGTAGAAAACATCAACACTCCTTGGTCATCAAACATAAAAAGGTAGGTACAAAATCAGTACGACCCTGGTTGATGCTTATGGTAATTCTCTACAACAACAGTGTAGACTATATGCACATAATGGTAATTTTAGAGTGGAAACATATCAATCACAATTTGTACATATAATTTTGGAAGACATAGTGTGCCATACAATGTCTCCTAGGAATGTGTTTACTCTGCAAGGAAATTAAATGTTGTTCTACAATAAATGTTAGTGAATATAAAAAGAAGAAGAAGAAGAAGAAGAAGAAGAAGAAGAAGAAGAAGAAGAAAAAAGAAAATCAGTAAGACTGTAAAACATTATCAGTCAACTTGACCTAACTGGCAATCTAGAACATTCCACCTAAAAATAACAGAATACATATTCTTTTCAAGTGCACATTGAACATCATCCAGGCAGACCATATTCAGGTCATAAAACAAATGTTAACAAATTTTAAAGAACTGGAATTATACTACAGTATATCTCTGACAGTAATGGAATTAAATGAGAAATAACAAAATGATATTTGTACTTTCTCTCTTAACCCTACAATCAGCTATTTATTCAACAAAGTGAGAACACAGAAAGGAGAAGAAAATTACTAATAAAAACATTTCATAAAACTGATGTGTTTAGTATACGGAAACTTAACATGGTTTCTGCACTTTCTATATGTATATTATGCTTCCAAAATAAAGTTTAGGGAAAAAATTAAGTTTAGGGGAGGTGGGGGGGATGGGTGAAATAGGTGATGGGGATTAAAGAGTACACTTATGACGGGGAATTGAGCAATGTGTAGAAATGTTGACTCACTCTATGGTACAGCTAAAACTAACATTAACACTGTATGTTAACTATACTAGAATTAAAATGAAAAACTTAATAAAAAAATACAGTTTAGAAGTGAGCAACAAATCTTTTTTAAAAGGTTTTCAACATCAGATGCTATAAGCATATGATGATATAGAAAGAGTAACACACACCTGAGTTCAAATCTCTCAACAGCTGTATGATATCTCTGGCAAATTACTAAACTCGGAGTACTCCTTAACAAGATTACATAAAAGAATAAGTTTCCATTTACAGGAAGGCAGAATTTAACACTTACCCAAAGGAAGGCAGGACTCTGCGAGGCTGATCTCGGGTTACTGTCACTCTGATCTTTGGATAGTCACTTATTCCATTAGGAGATTTATTACCTATTTTAAAAATGCATTTGTAATTGTAAAAAAAAACAAACAAAAAACAACAACCCAACCCAAAAACCTGTGAACAGTCTGCATTAGAAAATCTGTGAGCAGACTACATTGTAGAACTAAATACCCTATTCTTTCAAATTCTATTACTATATAGCACAGAGATCCAGTACAAATTGTAAAAGTTGAAGGAAAAGCAATAGTGCTTAGTTTGCCTTGGACCTCAGAGAGACCGTAAAAATTCACAGGCAAGCTCTTCAAGTTTCACTTGCATCCTGGGACCATCAAGAAGCATGGGGAACTCAGTGATTACAAACTCCCTGTAATCTAATCAAATTGAGTGAGTTGTTCAAATCATTTCTTCTTCCCAAGAAAACAGAAGTTATTATTATTATTTTTAAACAGAAGTTATTTTTAAATGAAAACTTGCTATAGGCTACTACACTTCACTGGAAGCTTCCAACACTTATGAGATGGTTACTATACCTCAAAAACAAGTAACCACACTTTCATCAGCCCCATTCACTGCTGGAGCTATTATAGAGGTGTAGAGTCTCTGAGGACTCCAAAATGTAAAGAGATTTAAAACTGAAAGTTTCTTCATTTAAGTCTGTAGCAGCAAAACTTAAACTGACCTGAATTCATTTGTTTGCAAAATCTGATGTGAACCACTGTTCAATCCTAATGGATTGTTAACAATATTCAATAAACACAACATATCTAAAATATGAAAGATTCTAAATTCCCAAGCCCATCTTCAAGGGTTTCAGATAAGAGACTGTACAAGAAAGGTGCCCTAGGAATACCTGTGTTTCTCTGACTAGGCTACACAAATACACAGAAACATAGTGTTGGTACCTCGGGCACAAGACAAATGTATCATCCCTTCCATATGTCCAACTTAATAATAAATAACTTTTTTAATAGTTTTTTTTTTAATTTTTTTTTCAACGTTTTTTATTTATTTTTGGGACAGAGAGAGACAGAGCATGAACGGGGGAGGGGCAGAGAGAGAGGGAGACACAGAATCGGAAACAGGCTCCAGGCTCCGAGCCATCAGCCCAGAGCCCGACGCGGGGCTCGAACTCACGGACCGCGAGATCGTGACCTGGCTGAAGTCGGACACTTAACCGACTGCGCCACCCAGGCGCCCCTTTAATAGTTTTTTTTAATGTTTATTTTATTTTTGAGAGAGAGAGCATAAGCAGGGGAAGGTGGTGGGGGGTGGGGGGAGCAGGGGATCTGAAGCAGGCTCCAGGCTCTGTGTTGACAACAGAGAGCCCAATAAGGGGCTCAAACTCATGAACTGTGAGATTCTGACCTGAGCTGAAGTAGGATGCTTAACCGACTGAGACACCCAGATGCCCCAAAGATAAATAACTTTTAATATTTATATATTCAAATGATACGAATAGATTATAAAATCTAATTTGTATTGCTTCTAAAATGAAAGACTGCAAAAAAAAGTATCATTTTTGTTCCAGGTCTTTTGGAACTAGATTCTCAGACTCAGGGGTATGCATTTACTCCCCTTTGCTCTTCTCTTCTACCAGAGATACTTTACTAAAAAAGTTTGAGTAGCACTACTATAAGGTTTTTGTCATTTCCTCAATTTCTTCTATTTTTGATCTCTGAACCCACAACTTTTCTAAAAACTTTTTTCTCTTTCTCTCAAACTTCATATGCTGTGTGACAGAGATCACAGCCATTTTCAGGAGTCTGGATTCTTCCTATTCTTCCCCATGATAGAATTTTATACAGTATGTACAATAATTACAATTCAACTTTGGGCTCCAACAATAATATGGAGATTCGTAATCCATAAAAATATGAGAACTGGAAACTTAAAGTTGCTTCCCAATCAGATGATGTTCCTCAAAGGCAGGGTTTAATTATTTTGTTGTTTTATATTTTGTTATGAAAAGTTTTAATTATTGTTTTGTTATTTTGTTATTCTTGATAACTTAACGCATGCCTACCACAGAGTAAGCTCTCAGGAAATGTTTTTATTTGTTTTTTTTTATGAATGAACCTTGAACTAAGTCACATTAAAGACACTGATAATACAAATAGAAAACACAACCAGTAAATTCAATGACAATTCTAAAAGAAAGCTATTTCATTTTTAGAATGGTAGAGAGACTATGTCTATGTTCTTATCCCAACCCAAATCAGTGTTTTCCTTTCATATTCTCAAAACTCAGAAAACAGAGGCAGAAGGAGGTAGAGGAAAGCAGAAAGATTTTTGACCACCTCACCCAGTTTCAGCATGTTGTTCCAGGATCCAGAACCTGTCAGTTCACAAGATGAAGAATTCGAAAATACCTTAAAATCAAATAGAACCACCTCTGTAGTATCTAAATTTTAGAATTTAAGTAAGTTCTTAATATAAAAAAAAATCACTCTATTGGTGATTATTTTGCTAGCTCACAGAAGAGACATCATTAGTGAGACCAAAGGTTTAACTGGTGAAGACTCACAAAATTATGTACAAAATAACAATTCTAGGTTCTTTACATATAGTACTTAAATAAGAAAAGCAGATGTATTAGTAGCTGAGCTCTTTATAAATATTTTTTAACTGCATAATTTCTTAACTTTTAAATTCTTGGCCTTTATATCAACATTAATAAAGAATGGTTCTGGGGGAAAAAAAAACAATGTTTTTGGAATCAATGTTTCTGGGAAAAAGTCATTCTACTCATTAATTCCTAAAAAGAGAATATTTCTTTTTTTTTTAATAAAATGCTATTTATTTAAGTAATCTCTGTATCTAATGTGGGGCTTGAACACACGACCCCAAGATCAAGAGTTGCATGCTCTCTGACTGAGCCAGCCAAACATCCCACAAAAAGAGAATATTTCTAAAATGTAACTTTAATGATGAAGTACAAAAATCAGTAGCCCCAATGGAACCCTATCCCCACTGACCTCTCCTGAAGGGGCCACATTCCGTGTTCCATTACAAGCAGAAGTTACCATGGGCTTTGTGGTCAGCTGGAATGGGAATCCAAATAAGCTGGCAGCATTGTAGAGACTGGTTTTCACTTGGTGAATGAAATAATCTAGAAAATATAGTATAGATTACATACACATATAGAGTAATACACTTCTAGCAAAAAATTAAGAGTATGTCTTAGAAAGGCCTCTCTCAATCTTTATTAGAAGTCCTACTTTCAATCACTGAGATAAGACGGTAACTGTAAAAGTAATTTTTCTCCTATCTGAATAACTGAAATTCCAGCATTCCAGCATTTGGAGGTTTTTTTTGTTTTGTTTTTTGAGTTGCTTTTTGGGTGTTTTTTTTTTTTTTTTTAAGTAAGCTCTAGGCCCAACATGGGACTTGAGCTCACAATCCCAAGTTCAAGTTCAAGAGTCGCATGCTCTACTAACTGAGCCAGCCAGGTGCCCCATAATTTTTGTTTTTCAATAAAATATCTCTTCTGGGATGCTATACAAACATGAAATTATCACTTCAGCAAATCACATACTAATTCATAAAAAAAGTCCTAAAATGACAACTTTTTAAAAATGTTTATTTAGAGACAGAGAGAGAGCATGCACAAGTGGGAGGGGGCACAAAAGAGGAAGAGAGAATCCCAAGTAGGCTCTGCGCTGTCAGCAGAGCCCTACACGGGGTCTCAATCTCAAGAACCATGAGATCATGACCTGAGCCAAATCGAGAGTTAGACACTTAACAAACTGAGCCACCCAGGCACCCTTTGAAATGACCACTTTTAAGCAATGAGTTATTCAGAATATATAAAATAAATAAGCCAGAGAGATAGGGGCATAACTTAACCTGCAGCATATAGACACTAAACGTGGCAGAATCCGACAGGAAGCACTATAATTTACTCACTGGTTTGTTCTTACTTCCTGGGAAGGTAACAATACACTCCTAAATAACTACTTACTAAGTGCCTATTACAAATTGGCTACTTCCAAGGTGGAAATCAGTGAAGTATAAAACATGTAGCTCTTAAACATCTCTGATGAAATAAGGCTATTCCTCTACTGGAGAAGACATGTTAGATCTGATGCCCCTCCCTGCCACCAAAAATAAAGATTACAAAATAAGTAAGTAAACACATAAGGGGGAAGGGTAAATTTTAGTACTTGCCCCACTTCCTCTTTTTAGGACACTACCCCTTTCTCATTTCCTACACTGTTGATTGGTTGTCTACAATTTCCTTTCTATTTCCCAGTTAAGGTATTTTAAACCACTAGCTTGAGAGAGAAAGAGACCATCAATTTAGCCACACTCTGCTAAATTTTTTTAGAGAAAAAAAAGCCTGAAACTGAAATGGTGGCTCTTAAACAACAAGCACTCCAGAACATATAAAATATAAAACAGAAATAGAAAGATAGGGGAATAACTTAAACAACAGGGAGATGGGGCACCAGCATGGCTCAGTCAGTTAAGCATTCGACTTCTGCTCAGGTCATGATCTCACGGGTTCCTGGGTTCAAGCCTCAAGCAGTGCTGAGCCTGCTTGAGATTCTCTCTCTCTCCTTTGCTCTCTGCCCCTGCCCCACTCGTGAGCGCACACATGCTCTATCAAAATAAATAAATAAACTTAAAAAAAATTCCAGATTATCCCTCTAGTAATGTATCTTATATTCTGCTATGGTTTTTTTTTTTTTTTTTTAATGTTCATTGATATTTGAGAGAGAGAGAGAGAGCACACACGTGGGAGGGGCAGAGAGAGAGAGAGAGAGAGGAGGACAGAGGATCCAAAGAGGGCTCTGTATTGACAGCAGAGAGCCCAATGCAGGGCTCAAACTCACAAACCACGAGATCATGGCCTAAGCTGAAGTCGGATGCTTAACTGACTGAGCCACCCAGGTGCCCCTCTGCTGTGTTTTCTTAAGTGAAAGAGTAAGAGTTTTAGAGATTTATGCTTAACCACTAGACTGTCATTCAGGCCCCAGAGGGTATAGTATACTCGTAATAACTAACATAGTTAAATAGTGGATGCTAAAAAGCATTGTTAATACTTATTTTCCTACAAATTTGTCAGAATCTGAGTATTCCTTTTTTTTTTTAATGTTTATGCATTTTTTGAGAGAGAGAGAGAGAGAGAGAGAGAGAGAGAGAGAGAGAGAGAAAGAGCATGAGCTGGGGAGGCGCGGAAAGAGAGGGAGACACAGAATCTGAAGCAGGCTCCAGGCTCTGAGCTGTCAGTACAGAGCCCGACGTGGAGCTCAAACCCAGGAACCATGACATCATGACCTGAGCTGAAGTCAGATGCTTCGACCTCGACTGAGCTACCCAGGCACCCCAAAATCTGAGTATTCCTAGAGATTAGGCCAAAAAAATCTAAATGACTCAAAAAAGAAAGGGGAGGGGGGAGAAAGGAGGACAGGAGAGGAGGAGAAGGAGGAGGAGGAGAGGAAGAAAGTAGACGGCCTATATAATGGGGATAAGACCACCTTACTTTCTTCACACTAGACTGGTTAGATCTCTTAAAACCCCTCTGATCTGTAAGATCATAAGTCTGAGATTCTAAGGTTCCCCTTTTCTTTTACCCTCCTTTCTTCCTCTCTCAAAAGCAACTAAGAGAGTTGTATTATCCAACACAGTTGCCAGTGGCCACATGTAGTTACCTAAGTTTATATTTAGTTAAAATTAAATTCAGTTCCTCAGGCACACTGGCCCCATTTCAAGTGTTCAACAGACATCATCACAGAGAGCTCTAATGGATGCAGTGCTGTAGACCTTTACAAACTCTGCCAATAAGTATTATATCCTCTACCCACTGCTTCCCCCTTGGTTCCCATCTATAATTTCAATTCAGAAATTATAATACATATTTCATGTAATCATGGAGGGAGAGATCTTTAACATGGAAGTCCATGAAATAGATGATTACCCTTATTATTTAAGGAACCTTCTATAATATCGTCAAAGTTCTTTTGTTTTTCTTGTTTTGTTGAAGTATAGTTGACACACAATGTTTTGTTGGTTTCAGGTGTAACCACTGCCAAAGTTTTTTATTTATATAAATAACTGTTACTTATATTTTTGTTTAAAATTGACTCATGTTTTTTGCTAAATAAATGTATTTGAAAGGTAATTTTATACCACTACTCTAAATGTAAAGAAACATTCTTTGCCTTATAAAGAAACGAAAACATAAAAATGTTAAGTTCTAGGTGGGCCTATTAAAAGAAGGGAGAGTCACATGTAATAGCAAGCAATAAAAACATACTAGCATTAAATCAAGATTTTCTGCTTGAAATAATCAGAAAATTAAAAACAACTGAAAAGGATACAACATTTTACTATGTAACATAATTCACGTTACTTAATGCTATGAAATGCTGTATCCCCTAAAATCCCTTCCTAAACTGATACCCATCTTGTGCTTTGAGAAACACTGTCCCAGTGAATTTAATATAAATTCCTCACACTCAAAGTCCTCTTTAATTTGACATACTTCTTTTTAGCCAACTTCTCCCCTGAATTCTATTCACTATTTCCTAAATTGCACAACTCTTCCATACTGTTCCCTCTGCTTAGAATGCTTTTCCTTCCTATTGCTCTGCTGATATCCCATCCACCCTTTACGATCCATCTTACACACGAGCTCTTTCATCAAATATTTACTGAGACTTTTAATCAGCTGAAAATTGGACAGTATTTTGTTACTATCTTTCTTATTTCATTTATCACATCGCTACTGACATTAGTAATAATTTATATGCTTGCCTTATACCCTCTACTATACAATTATATACCTCCACAATTGTAAGGTCCTTAAAAATAGAGACCCTGTCTTACTCATTTTTCTATTTCCTGTAGAACCTAACACATTGCTTAGCAGTAAGACATGCTTAATAACTGCTCATTGGATTTAAATGAAATCTTTTTTTTTTTTTTAAGTTTTCTTTGTTTATTTTGAGAGACAGCAAGAGAACCAGCAGGGAAAGGGGCAGAGAGAAAGAGAAAGAATCCCAAGCAGGCTCTGTGCTGTCAACGCAAAGCCTGATGTGGAGCTCGAACTCATGACCATGAGATCATGACCTGAACCCAAATCAAGAGTTGGACGCTCAACAGACTGAGCCATCCAGGTGCCCCTGGATTTAAATGAAATCTTAACAGACATTTCTACTCTTTTTTTTTTAATTTTTTTTTCAACATTTATTTATTTTTGGGACAGAGAGAGACAGAGCATGAACGGGGGAGGGGCAGAGAGAGAGGGAGACACAGAACTGGAAACAGGCTCCAGGCTCTGAGCCATCAGCCCAGAGCCCGACGCGGGGCTCGAACTCACGGACCGCGAGATAGTGACCTGGCTGAAGTCGGACGCTTAACCGACTGCGCCACCCAGGCGCCCCAGACATTTCTACTCTTAACTAACACATCTGGAGGAGATCAAAATTCACATTCATTTTTGAGACAGAGGAAATATTATTATAGCACTCCATTTTGCCTTTTTTCCTTTAATCTAGTTTTATTCTCTTCTATCAAGCTATGTCTAGCCCTCTGGATCCAGAGAAGTAAACAATTTGGGGCAACACATTAGATTCATTCACTCAGCTATATGAACTAGATGACTCAATTTGAAGTAGTTTTTACAGTGTTTTTTCCTCAAAAATAAAAAGCACCTTTTTTTTAGAAAGATTCAGAATTTTAAAATACACATTCAACACACAGGCTTATCTATCTGGAAGGATACTTAAGACCCTGATAACAGTCCCTAGAAAAGATAACTGAGTAGAAAAGGGACAGGGGGGCGCCTGGGTGGCGCAGTCGGTTAAGCGTCCGACTTCAGCCAGGTCACGATCTCGCGGTCCGTGAGTTCGAGCCCCGCGTCGGGCTCTGGGCTGATGGCTCAGAGCCTGGAGCCTGTTTCCGATTCTGTGTCTCCCTCTCTCTGCCCCTCCCCCGTTCATGCTTTGTCTCTCTCTGTCCCAAAAATAAATAAACGTTGAAAAATAAATAAATAAATAAATAAAAATTTAAAAAAAAAAGGGACAGGAAAGAGACTTACTTTTCACAGCATAAACTTTTTACCTTTTGAATTTTGTTCCATGCATATACTTTTCCTACTAAAAAAACCTAATTTTTAAAATTCATATTCAATACCTAATCTTGGTCTTTTGGCTGGTATTTCATCAGTGTCCACTGTAGAAAACGAAGTGCTGAAAAGAAAAAGAGAAAAATATATATATATTTACATATACACACACATATCCATTTCTGTAAGTAAACCTAATATGCATACAACACACCCCCTCCATCCACGTTGTCAAAAAATGAGACTCAACTGATGTTTGAAGAGAAAACACTCCTCTGTAGTAGGCTTTCACCATTTGAGGACTTAACACTCTTGTTTAAACTATTTGAAAGAGACCCAAAACTCCCTATCAAATGATAAAATGTAATCTGGCTAAAGTACAAACTTGAAATTGGCCAGAAATCATTTGGCTAGTAAATGAACATAGGTGACAGCCTAGGACTGGTATATCCTTTTTCTCTCCAGCAATGATTTTAAAACAACAAATAACTTCCTTTTGAAAGATGACATCTCCCCACCCTCACAAGAAAAGCCATCTTCTACTTTACTAGAAGCAGACAATATAAGAAGCCTTAAAATATAGTTCTTAGTCAGAAAAGGTGTTATATTTAACTGCATTTTTTTAAAAATGTTTATTCATTTTGATAGAGCACAAGCGGGGGAAGGGCAGAGAGAGAAGGAGACACAGAATCCAAAGCAGGCTCCAGGCTCTGAGCTGCCAGCACAGAGCCTGACATGGGGCTCGAACTCAAGAACTGTGAGATCATGACCTGAGCCGAAGTCAGATGCTTAACCGACTGAGCCACCCAGGTGCCCCTTTAACTGCATTTTTATCATGGAAACTATATTACAGTGGTAATAAAAAATTGGGGAATTCAGGAAAGTTTTTGGGCCTATATATACCTCAAGAATGTTAAAAGCTTACGGTATACTATAATCATCTTTCTAAAGATAATTATAATTGATCAGTTTTACCAAAAAAAATTAACAGAATAAATCCCAGGAGAATACCATTCAGTTAATAACTTTGAACATCCCAGTAAGACCTCCTGGCTTCATTTTGACTGAAACATGGCTTACATTGTGAAGAATTGTTTTAGATAAAGGATGTGTGGTGACGAACAGGGTTTTGATCTCCAAACCATTGTTTCACTCACTGGCAGGGATTCACAGCAGAAAGAAAGGACAAGGAGAGGAAATTAATATTCTCTTATTCAATAAATATGTACCAAGTACCTATCATGCACCAGCCTCAGCACAAGGCCGCTGAGGTAGAATAAACAAATACCATCCTTATAATATATTAAGCATCATTTAAGGCACTTTACAACATGCTCCCAAATGATCCTCTTATCAACCTCACAAAAAGGTAGAAAAGACTAAGTTGAAACCTTGGTTTCTCTAGAACACATGATGGAATGTAGCCAACAGCCTATTTCATCAATGATCTGCATTTTCAGACTCATGTATTAAATCATCTTGCTCTCTCAAGCTCCAAGAAACTATCCTTCAATAATCCTGGGCTTAATAAAAAAATGAAATTAACACGGTCACTAAAAGTTGATGGGGGAGTAGAGAATTGGTATGGTCTTTTATTCTCTAGATTAATTCTCAAGCAAGGGGTACACACTATGAAATGAGACAAACCAAGGGGCAGATACTAAGTAAGAACAGTTTTAGTTTCCCCCAAATTTTTTTAAGCACAAACTAGTGATCTTTTTAAAGAAATGAGACACCTAATTTTCCCCCCCTCATATACTAACTCTAAAGCACAGAACCATCCTCCCTCCCTCCCTCGCAAAACACACACACACACACAGTTTGACAGCTGTTTCAGAACAAAACAGCTGCTGTTCTTTGGTGCTAAGAGAACAATTCTTGTAGTCAAAACGGCTTTGGTCAAGCTATGAATCTCCCTTCCTTTAGCTGCACTTATTGCCTACATATGACACTTGGGAGTGTGCTGTGTAAACAGTGAACCACAACACAGACACTATTCCTTCAATTGTTACTTTTCAACTAACGAAAGAGTAGCAAGATACAATAAAACCCCATTTGACAGCAATCAGCTCGGACTCTGACAAGAACATCAAAGATCCTAACCATCACGGTGCACTCCAAAGACAACTAGCTCGTTCCATCAGCAGCAGCCGCATCGCACAGCGTGGAGGGAGCGACTACGTCACCAGGATACCCGCGACTCGCACCTCCACCGCCTTGGCCTGGCCAACTGTTTCGGCAGAGCAGGGCCTGCCTGGCTGGATCAGCGCTCTCGGGGCCGAGCCCCGGGGTGGGGGAGGGAGTACAGCCAGGCTGGCGCTCGGCCCCCTCTCCTCTCACCTGTTCGAGCGCCGCCTCTTCAGGAGGGCCCGGGCAGGGGGCACCGGCCGGTCACAGAAACGGAAAATGGTGCCGAGAATCCTAACCAGCCATTTGTACATACCAGGCCCAAGCAGCAGCGGCGGCCGACACACCCCGAGAAGCAAACCCCAGAGCTGTCGCCGCCGCTGCCGCCTTCGCCGCCTCGGCTACCACCGCCAAGGCTCAGTCGCCGACTTATGACGCGATTGGAGGGCCCACAGATAAAACGTCCTGAGAGCTATAGGAGGCCCCCGCCTGCCACCACTCCTGACGTCACCTCCTCCCGCCGGACCGGAAAGCATCTTCGTCCTCAATCTGCGCACGCGCAGCTTCACTCCGTACCACATCCCGACCTAGCAACCAGAATGCGTGCGAAACAGTCTCGGTCCAATCGTTGGCGAGATCGAAAGGGCTGTGGGCGGGGCTTTCTGTTCGGCGTAGCCAGTCGCGAGACGGCCCGCCGGACAAGGCCCACAGGCCACAACAAGTGAGGCTTCCTCACCTGGGAGCCAGCGCTCCGGAGGCCTGAAATATACTGTAGGTACTCAGTAAATGTTTGTTGAGGGCACGAAATAAAGGTAGGTCAGAACAAATGTTTACCCTGCTAAGTGCCCTTTGGTTTGCATATACCTAAGGTCTAGTACTTTACCACGTACTGTCATGTTCGTTTCTCCCAGCAACCTCAGGCGATGGTGAGGAGTCTTGTGCCCATTTTTAATAAATCAGGAAATCAAGTACATAGCGATTAAGCAATTTGCCTAAAGTCACAAAGCTAACTAGTGGCGTAGCAGGATTGGAACCGGGATCTGAGAACCAGCGCCAGTCCCTCGCCTGTGAGGCGAGTTTACTGGAAGAGACATGATTATAAATTACAAGATAATTGTGTGCAAAATGCAGTAGGAGCCAGAGAAAGGAAAACTACACCTTGGAGAGGGATAGGGAAGGGCATAATTCAAAGAAGGCTTCACAGAAACTTAAAGACAAGAGGTACCTGTGGCCTAGTACCTGCTAGTCTCCACCCCTGGGCTGGCAGGCAGGGAGTGCAAATTAACTCTCCCTGTTATCTAGAGGTCATACTTCTGATTAATTATCAATAAGAGAAAAAAGTCCCACCCTATTTAGGGACAAGAATATCCAGTCCCCTCCTCCAAACATTGCTGGAATCCTTTTCTGGCCCCACAAATCCATCCCTGACTACACTTGACCTTTACCTCTGATTTAGTTAAGGCCAGACTTCAGGCTTCCTTGAACTTAACACAGGCACTCCCCATTACAGCCTCATCCTGTACTCAATAAAGTGTTCTGGAATTCTGGTGCAAGATAACACCTAGAGCTCCAGAACCACCTGTGGCTATCACCACTCTGGCTTGGGCATATGGGAGGCAGTTCCTAGAGAGTGGAACCAAATCCTAAATGTGGACATAGGCCCCTTCCTTAATTCTCCAAAACACAGTTAACACCAGACTGGTTTTTTTTTTTTTAATTTTTTTAAATGTTTATTTATTTCTTGAGAGAGACTCAGACAGAATGTGAGTGGGTTAGGGGCAGAAAGAGAGGGAGACACAGAATGCGAAGCAGGCCCCAGGCTCCGAGCCATCAGCACAGAGCCCGATGCGGGGCTCGAACCCACGAGCTGTGAGATCATGACCTGAGTCGAAGTCGGACGCTCAACCGACTGAGCCACCCAGGCACCCCAACACCAAACTGTTAATGAAAGTTTGAGAATAGAAAGACTAGAAGTTTTGTGTTTGTTTTTTTTTTTAAGAAACTGTTTCATTTCCATCAACCCTATTCCATTTTGTTTGCCGTTGTAGAAAAGCAGCTTAAGACCACTCCTATCCATTCAGTGGTCTAAGCAGTGGGAGCTGCAGAACAGTCTTCACTGGCAGGCTGAGCACTCCAGTCTTCAGTAGAGGACTGCTGAATAGGCATAGAGGGCACCTGCACACCTTCAGTTCAGTCTGCAACTTCAGGTTGAGTAGCAGTGAACTCAGGAAGCTGCTCTTCCTTTTCAATCTCTTCAAGATCTCTGTAGAAGAAGAGACAGGTAGGACCTGATGGTGCCACAGATGTGCAGAACTTCCCAGGCCAGCATCCACCACATCAGACCCACTGAGTGAGCTCTCTTGTTGTAAGCGATAGCAATGTCTATATAGCACATAGGAGAGTTTGTGTTACATGAGCGATGGTAGGCAGGTTAACATAAGATGCCTCTGTGAGAGGCTAGTGGTCAGCCCTGGGATCTGTAACCACCAGAAGTCTCGGTTCCAGGAAGGCTGCCTGGATCTACTTAGTGAAGTTTCCAGGGGTGAAGCAGCCAGCATCAGGGAGTGGCTCCAGTAGCAGCAGCAAACTTCAGCACAGCTCTCTGGCCAGTATTCCCAGATGATATGACACTGACATCAGCTGGGTTTTCAAGGCTCCAATGGCACAAACTGCCAGCAGAAGCTTCTCTCAGGTTCTCTTCAGATTTATGATGTAGATCCCATCACTTTTCCTTTTGTAGGTGTACTGTTCCATTTGGAAGTCAAGGTTAGTGCCACTTAAGTGGGTTCCTGCTGCAAGGAATTCGAGGACATCCTCCTTCATTTGCAGGCCATCATGGGCTCTGAACATTGTGAAAGTTTGCTTTAAGCTATGATGGGAATGTAGAACAAGACCGCTGTGTGGCCCCTCTCTGGGTAATTTGGAAAGCAAAGACCAGAAGATTTAGAAGTGGCTATTATCATCCGTAGTCCATTGCTCATTGCCTCCCAGAAGGACTTTACTCCCCTCAAGGTCATCTCTCCACTCTTTTACAAGCCACCAGCAGAAGAGAATTTTCTCTCCACCTCTACTCCAACCTATTTCAGGCTGGACTCCCGGTTAACTTAAAAAATAGTCTACCATGGCATTATTATGCACAGCACTTGAGCTGTGTCCCATGTGTCCATTCCACTATAAAAAATGGCCTTTGCCTTCACTGAACCAAAAAGAACACTCAAGCATTGCAAAGGGATTTTCGAAGACAAAAGAGCAGTCTCTGTTCAAAACATAAATGGGAAAACTGCAAGGTGCTTTAGAATAGCAGCGTATCTCAGGTTTGGGCCACCAAGATTTAAGAAAGATTGACACCAAGTCTCAGGCCACTCCAGTACAACACATTTTTTTTTTTCCTCCCTCACTAATAGCACCTGCGCATACCTAATGCTGAAATGTTAGACCCCCTCTATGAAAAGTGGAGGGCTTTGGAATTACCTCAGTCGAATCTCTGGGCCTCATCAGGAAGCAAGAACTCTTGAGTGCAGCAACTGCCAGCCACCGCCTGCACCTGACATTTTGCCACTTGGTGCACTCGCTGTCCTATCATCCCCAGGAGAGGCAGGGGCCGATACCCATCCAGTGGTCAAGGAGTGGAACCACGCTTACTCCAAACCCACCACTGTTGCACCCATTCCTGGACTCAGGAACTCTTCACCAGAGGGCTAGAGGAGAAAACCAAAGCCATATGGAGAAATAAGGACATTGAGGTTTGGATAACTTGCACCCGTGTACTGTTGGAGGGGCACATCCTCATTGCTTAAGTTTTCATTAGGCTATCCTAAACGATTGCCCAGTTTTCTGAAAAACAAAATGACAACAAAAACTTTGTTGACAAAAAACAACAAAAAACTTCTCCTCTTCCCTCTTCCCCTCCCCTCCTCCTCCTCCTCTTCCTCTTGCTGAGATCCTCTCCTTCAAGCCTTTCCAGGGTCCATCCCAATTTTCCTCAAAACCTACCTCTCCTCCACAGAGAAATAAAGACCCAGCCCTCCAATTCATTGCTCAGTCTTGAACATTTTCCCTTTACCAGCATTCTCAGAGTATTAAAAGATTTATTGTCAGCTTTGGTTTTGCTGACCCCTGCCCGAACTCTGGTCCATTTGATAGAAGTAGATTGAAGCCCATAGGTGAGATGCTGTTGGTTTGGGCTTAATGTACCTAAAATCCAACATAGCTCATCACCCTAAATATTAATTTCCTTCTGGGGACCAACTCTGGTATTCAAGAAAAACGTATCCTCCTAATAATGAGGACTTTGATCTTATTCAGTCTAATAATAACCTTGGCCTTATTATCCCAAAGCAAGTGTAGTTCCTTGTCCTAGATTTTATTAGAAAAGTTGCTCACATTAACTTCAGGTTTGGCCTGCCTTGTGAAGAAGTATCTGAGCCTATTTTCTAATCTATAAAATAGAGTTAATCAAATCTGCCTCTCAGATCTGTGGGCCAGTTAAATGTGCTTACGTACGTGAAGGACTGACTTCAGTATCCCACATGGCTAAGTGCTTAATGTTTCTCTTCCCTCTTCTTCCTTCAGTTATCTAATAAGCCATTTAATTTGTCAGTTCCACATCCTACACTTTCCTGCATTCTCCATGGATCCGCCTTTTCTCCTCTCCAAACCCATCAAACATACTATCATTCAAGGCCTGATCACTTCTCAGGCCTTCCCAAAAGCCACCTCCTCTTGTATTCTGTCCCTTTTCTATCTATTTGCAGGGTGATCTCTCTTGTGTTGTCTTTTGTTGTTGTTTTGTTCTCTGCTGTGGCTGTTGTTGCTAAGGAAGGTAAATTTATAGTGTTCTTATTTATTAAGGAAAGTAAATGTATAAATTGAATTTGTGGTTTTCTGTTACCATATCCTAAAAGTGGTTGGGTTGATTTTAATCAAATTCCAGATGTTTGGAGTGATCTGATTTCAACTATGGGTACAAGATTCTCATGACCAGTGCTTGGGAAGCCAGCTAAGTAAACATAAAAACAGAAATCTGGTTCTAATAATAATAATATTTTAGATCCAAATAAATCTAAAATATGTGCTACCAGCGTTCCTGAGTCGCTCAGTCAGTTAAGGGTCTGACTTCGGCTCAGGTCATGATCTCACGGTTCATGAGTTTGCGCCCCATGTCGGGCTCTGTGCTAATAGCTCAGAGCGTGGAGCCTGCTCTGTTGAAAAGAGCAGTCTTTTCATAATATATATTATTATATACATATTTTTTCATAATATGTATTATATATATTATATATATTTTTTACATATTATATATAATATATATTATTATATAATAAATAATAAATATTATTATTTAAATAATAATAAAAAATTATCATTTTTTTAATAAGAAAATACATGGTACCAACGGATGTTCAATATTGGCACTACCCCCAAATTTTTTATTTTTTGAAATGAACTTTTAACTGATAAAAGCATTTGCCTCTGTCTTGCCAGTGTGCACACAGGCCTTGCTAGAGCCTTCTATTCTTGAAATGCTCTGGGCAGCACTCTGCAAACAAGCAGTTATTGAAAGCGCTGGACTTGCATTTATTTTATTTGATACATTGTTTGTAAGGAAATCATGGTTTCTTTCTTTCTTTTTTTTGACGTTTATTTATTTTTTGAAAGACAGAGACAGAGTGCCAGCAGGAGAGGGGCAGAGAGAGAGGGAGACACAGACTCCAAAGCAGGCTCCAGGCTCTGAGCTGTCAGCACAGAGCCGGAAGCAGGGCTCCAACCCAGGAACTGTTAGATCATGACCTGAACTGAAGTCAGAAGCTTAACTGACTGAGCCACCCAGGTGCCCCAGGAAGTCATGGTTTCTAAAACAAGGTAGCTCTATTCCATGAAGAATACTTCTTAGGCCAGAAAAGTAGTATACAGACATTTTCCTTCCTGTGTTGTAATAAACTACAAAAAAAAAAAAAAAGTTAATAAGCTAACCTAAATGTGTTATTCTCTCTATATATTATTTCTTACATTTGTTATATATTATTGTGGCATATATTATTTATTATGTTTATTTGTATTACATGATACTAATATATTAACATACAAAGAAGTGAACAGGAAAAAAAACTTACGTTCTTGCTGCCTTGAAGATAAAATCCACTATCTTAAGCATGGCATGCAGAGTGCCTCCTACCCTGGCTTCAAGTTAGTTTATCATTTCCCTATGCATCCATCCAAACTGGCAATCCACACTTCTTTTATAACTCCAAGTTTGTTCCCTCTACCTGAATTGCTTTTCCTCTACTTTCTTCACCTCACAGGCTCCTACCTAGTCTTTAGAATCCAGCTCAAAAAGGATGTCCTATGTGAAGCTTTTTCCACGGCCCCTCCCCGTGGGATTCCCAGCAACTTACTGCTTCCTCCTCGGTTCTATGGAAGGTGTATCCGTAACTCTATATCAGTATTACTAGTATCATTAATATGTCCGTCTCCTTGTGAGAAGGAGCCATCCCCTATTGTTTCCTCATTATTTTTCTAAATAGAAGCTTGAGAAATGTTCAATAAATGAAGGAATGAAGACATGAAACAAATACATGGATTAGGTGAAAGTTACCCTGATCTCCTTGTAGAAAATGAATCAAGGAAACATTTATTTCTCCAAACATGGACAGCTAGTGAGATTGTGGGGCCACTGAAGCAGATGAAAGGACAAAATTCTATGTGATAGTGAGTCATATACCAGCTTAGAGCATTAAACCAGGGTGAGAGAGGACATAGGTCACCTTTCCTGACAGCTGAAGCCAATGAGAATTCTAAAAACACCTCCCTTCAGTTCATTACACTTCCATACCTGTTTTTCCTGTCCACGCATTTGGAAGCTTGCCTGCCCTCTTTCTAATCTGCTCTCTGTAGCGAGCGATTTCTAGGTTAAGAAGAAGAAAAAAAGCCAATACATAATACTAAATTGGAAATGAGGCAAACTGTGTTATTCTTGAGTTGTGATCATTTTTCAGAATCATCGTATGAAGAAGATTGATGATGATGATGATGAGAAATAAAGACATGGTTTTCCTCAGGATACCTTTGAGTAAATGTTAACATTCAAATAGTTATGAGTTACCCCATCTTTTGGAACTTTGAAAAACTTTTAGTTACTTTTTAAATGTTCATTTATCTGAGAGAGAGAGATAGAGAGTAAGCAGGGGAGGAGCAGAGAGTGAGAGACACAGAGAATCCCAAGCAGGCTCTGTGATGTCACCAAACCCTGAGATCATGACCTGAACTGAAACCAAGAGTAGGACAGTTAACCAACGGAGCCATGGAGGCACCCCTAAAAACTTTTATTTTAAAATAATTATAGATTCACGGAAAGCTGCAAAAATAGTACAGGGATGTCCCATGGACCCCCAGTCAGTTTCCCCCAATTGTAACATCTTACATAACTAGAATGCACTATGAAAGCCAATAAATTGACATTAGTACAATCTACAGATCTTATTTACATTTTACCAGTTTTACATGCACGTGTGTGTGTGTGTGTGTGTGTGTGTGTGTGCTCGCGCGCGCATGCGCACGGTTCTATGCAATCTTATCACCTGTGTAGATTGCTGTAACCCCCACCACAAGCAGGCGACAGAACCAATTCACCTCTCAAAGATTCCCTATTCTCCAATTCTCCCTCGCTTTCCTCTCCCTCCATCTTTTGAAATGCTTTCTGTTTTTTCATATTTGATATTTCTAACTTTCTCTTCTTGAGAGGATGGGTCCTCCCGTTGATACCTTGTGCTATTTTGAACGCTGGAAGTAGAAAAGCACAGACAGCTAGGAAGTTGTAGGAAAACTTGTGTGCCTACTGGCAGGAAAATCAATACTAACACAAAAAGCCCTCCCAACAGAAATTATTCTTATTCCCATAATTGGCTGGTTTCCAGGAAAATGTACATTGGCTCTGTCTAGATAAAGACTTGGCGTGGTACTAAACTGATAGGAGCTCAACAAATATTTATCAGACAAGTACACTGACCCAACAGTGCATTCCACAACAGGTTCCTAAGAGAATGTGGAACAATTCTCCATTTGTTCCAGAGGGCAGTTGTTACCAAACCAGTAAAGCTTACTGCAAATGGAAAACTAAAAAAGCTAGCAGGCCACCTATTTGTTTTTCCTATTTATGTATCCCTAATTTATTTCTCCAGCAGGAGACAAAAAAAAAAATACACTACAGTACTGACTAAAGTCATTTACCTAAAACATCACTGCTATCAGGTGCCCTCCATTCCTAAAATGCACCTGACCCCTCTTCTCAGCACTGTGCAGACTGCCTTCTGACAGAAGGGAAAGGTGTAGACTGTGTAACCACTTAAGTAACATAGTTACCAAGTGCTAAGTGAGCTTACCTTGGTAGCAGACTGTAAGGCTAAGAACTTTACTCATATTAGCTCATTTAATCCGAATAACAGCCCTGTGAGATACCTGCTTTTGTTTTCCTCATTTCACAGTTGAGAAAAGTTAAGAATGGAAATGTTTTGCTTCAAGCCACACAACTAGTGAGTGGAAGATGTGGGATTTGAACCACTGCTAGCGGGTCCTGGCCTTCATTAGGTCTGAGGTGTGACACAGAATCCATATGCAATACTCTGAAACCCCCCCACCCCCCACCTCCAGCAGGGGAAATCTGATGTACTGATTCTTTGGGAAGCACTGCTGGAATCTACTTCCCGCAAGGAATCCCCTGCTATTCGAAGGGGATGCAGACACAGAAAACCGATAAACTTCTATGAGAGATAACTTTGCTTCATAAATGTGTATTTCAGGTAGACAATGCTAAATGACTAGTGGCTTTTGCCTGATGCCCTGGATAACAATGTATTCTTTTTTTTTTTTTTTTTTTTTTTTAACATTTATTTATTGTTGAGACAGAGAAAGAGCATGAAGAGGGGAGTGTCAGAGAAAGAGGGAGACACAGAATCTGAAACAGGCTCCAGGCTCTGAGCTGTCAGCACAGAGCCCAACACGGGGCTTGAACCCACGGACCGCGAGATCATGACCTGAGCCGAAGTCGGACGTTTAACCGACTGAGCCACCCAGGCGCCCCACAATGTATTCTTTAAATTGTTTGTGTCTTTCTTTATAAATGCATGTTTCAGCTCATCAGACCACCGCCCCCCTCCCCTGCTCCCATCCCCCCCCCCCCCCCCATAAGCCTGAGTGACTGCTACAAGTCCTTCCACCAGAAAGGTAATTAAATTACCTCATAGCTAGGAGAACACAAGTTCAGTTACTTCCAACACTGAAGTGGATGGATTCTGGCAGAACTCTCTATTTAAAGCTTTTGCATTTAATTTTCCTTTAGAAAGTAGGAGGCAAGGGTGAGGGAGAGATAGGCTCTGGATAGGAAGAAATAAAAATATGTATAATGCCATAAAAATGTTCCTTTAATCTGAAGCGTATCTGGACATATACAGGCATATGAATGGACTTAATGAAATATTCTTAACAAAATATAAAGACTGCCTGATGAGGAATGCGTGTGTGAATTAACATAAAAAGTAGTTTTGTGGACACAGACCAACAGGATACTCATTGATTTGTTTCATTCACAAGAACAGGGAGGCAAATATCTCAGATCACACTTGATTTCAACATACCAAGCCAAGCCACTAATAAACCGCCCACAAAGAATGAAACTATTTTGAACTCGTCATTCTACAAATACACATTATAATATTAAGATATGCATAAAATTAAAAAAAAAAAAGATGTGCATAAAATTGTGTAAGGTAGAAAGTACTCGACCTTCCACTGAAAAGAGGAGGAGTCAAATATCCTGAAAGGGTTGGGACCCGCCTGCAGTCCCTGGGGAACTTCCTGTTGTCACCACACCTCTGGTGTAGTTATCTGAGCTCCCTCTGAGCAAAGCCCTCAGTGGAAACTCCAAGGCTCTGCAAAGGAAATTATTCTTGTGAATGTGACACACACTCTCTCCAGTTTCCATATGCTGAGATTATCCTTCTTCTTCGGTTTGATCTGCTTGGTGAAAACAGGTAGGTCATTTAGTGAATGGTTTACTTAATTATTTAAAAAATATTATTTTATATTGTCACTTTGCATTTTATCAGCCCACTCCTTTCAGTGGACTTTTTAAATCTTACTTAGTCATTGTGAAGGAAAGAAGATACGGATTAAATGAACTTTCTAATCCTGAAAATTTTTTTTTCAGTAATGAAAGAAATTATTATTCCTTTGAATTAACTTCTTCTGATGTATGAAAAATAAATGTGTTGGGAAATCTAAAGGTTACTTTCTTTCATAGTTAAGTTTTCTGTGCCTTTCCACCTCTATGAAATAAAATCATTTATGTTGTAGAAATTTTAAGTTTTGTTTTATTATAATATCTAACACATAGAGGATAGGTTTTTATAAGCTTTCATACACTGAGGGTTTATTTAAATTATCTTTTAGGAAAACATAGTTTTATTATGTAAACCCCTTGGAATTGTGTCTAGCATATTGATAACTTAAAAATTATTAATGATAATGAATAAAAATTAAAACAGTGATGTACAGGGGCACCTGGCTGGCTCAGTTGGAAGGGCATGCAACTCTTGATCTCTGGGTCATGAGTTTGAGCCCCACGTTTAGTGTAGAGATTACTAAATAAATAAAACAGTAATTTACACAGCAAGATAACAAAAATAAAGTGGAATGCTGTTTTATTTTTATTTTAATTAATTAATTAATTAATTTTTGAGAGAGAGAGAGAGCATGAGGGGGAGAGAGCTGCAGAGCAGAGGGAGAGAGAGAGAGAGAGAGAGAGAGAGAGAGAGAGAGAGAGAGATTGAGAATCCCAAGCAGGCTTCACGACCCTGGGATCATGACCTGAGCCGAAATCAAGAGTGGGAAGCTCACCTGACTGAAACCCCCAGGACTACCTGAAGTGAAATACTTTTTAAAAAGAAACTCAACACTTCTCAGCCTTCTTAGGAATCCAGTTCTTTTTCACATAGTTTATGGTAAAAAATTGGTACAGTTTTTTGAAGGGAAATGTGTTACATACAGTATCCGTAAAAATGTTTATGCCATTTGAACTACTAAAACCATTGCTGAGAATTGATTCTAAAGAAATGGCTTTTGAAAGGAAAAAAACTTGGGGTGCCTGTCTGGCTCAGCCAGAAGACCATGTGACTCTTGATCTCGGGGTTGAGACTGCAAGCTCTACACTGAATGTAGAGATTACTTAAATAAATAAAACTTAAAAAAATAAGAAAAGAAAAGAAAACAACTCACCTAGGAAGATGATTCTAACTATGTTATTTATAATAACTTGAAACTAGATATAGCAGAAATGTTTCTACACACAGTAATGGATAAAGTTTCAACTTTTTAAAAAATGTAGCCTTTAAGATTCTGAAGCTATGCAGAAAGTGCAAACATGTTTATAAAATAATGCAAGTAGACAAAACAATTCACATTTATAAGTCAACAAAGATAACAGCTATGTTAAAATCATGTGTGTATGTCTGTAGATAAAGTTTAGGAGGGAAATGGAAAAATTAAACTAGCTGTATTAGGATTTCAGGCTTATAAACAAATTTTTCTCAATTTGTGCTTTTGAAGCTGATTTAATAGTAAATTAAAATTATGCTAATGATGATATTTTTCACCGAGAAGTCAACCTTTTAAGAAGTGTGTGTTTATAATAATTTTTAAATTTAGAAAATGAACATAAATTTAGAGATAGTTTTAGGAGAGTGGAACTAACCCTGACACAAAAGCCTGATGATAGTTTGTGGGTACTTTCTTTGAATCTCGCATTATGTATCTCTATACATAAAGTTGGAACTTAATGTTTTTGTGATCTGCCTTTTTACTTAACATTATCTCATCAGCAAAGTCTTTTTTAAATGACTCTAGAAGACTTACTGCTGAATGACAGAATCTAAGGAGAGACACAGCACAATAAACTTCTGTAGCTAGAAGGAAAAAACATAATTATAGCTGTAAACTAAATTTAGATTTCTCAGTATCTGCAAAACCATGAACTTGCAACTTCCAGGAGAGAGGGTTTGAATGATAGGCACCTGATAGTGGAAATTATTCATCACAAATACATCGACTTTTTGTTTTTCCCCTTCTTTAGCTTGCCGTCCAAAAATCAACAACTATTAAAATGTGACTCTGAAATGCAGAGAATATAGGTCATTCACTTTTGGAAATCTTTGTTTTGCTCTAACCTTTGTGATATCATGGCAGGAATATTGGCCGTAATTTTACCAGCGAATAAAGCAATCGCTAGCAAGCTCTAGTGTGCACCAGAATCGCCTGGGAATTTGTTTAAAATGCAGACCACCCTCAGAGATCCAGACTCAGTGGGTCTGGGGCAAGAGCTTAAAATCTGCATTTCTTCCAACAAACCCTCTGGTTTTTCAGCTGCAGGTGGTCCAAGGAAAAAAGTTGATAACTATTTTTATAAATTAAGGCTGTTGTCATAAATGTATTTTAAAGTTACTCTTCTGTCAATATTTTGGCTTATGGCAAATTTGTATAAAATTATGTAGGTATTTGCCTAGGGGAAATAGCTTAGTGCCCAAAAAACAGAGAATTATTTCCTCAGATTTGAAATCCTCTACAGATAATTTATAACTCCATTTTTGGTGTGTGTGTGTGTGAGAGAGAGAGAGAGACACAGAGAGACAGAGAGACAGAGAAAGAGACAGAGACAGAGAGAGACTCCTTCTCTGACAGGGAGACAAAGGTGAGTAAGGGGGTGGAGTGTGAATGTGCATATTTATGCACATGATTAAGAGAAGAGAGTGAGGAAATCTAGTATCTCTTCTGTTTTCTCAGTTGTATTCTTAAAAAATGCTGGTGGTTCGAAGCAAGTATGTCCAACCAAGAGAGCATTTTGCCCATATACTTCTTGCCTATAGTTATTGGGGTAAAAAATAAACAAGACGGGCGCGGGTGGCTCAGACGGCTAAGCGTCCAACTCTGGCTCAGGTCATGACCTCACAGTTTGTGAGTTCGAAAGCCCCCACGTCAGGCTCTGTGCTGACAGCTCAGACCCTGGAGGCTGCTTCAGATTCTGTGTCTCCTTCTCTCTGCCCCTCCCCAGCTCAGCTCACGTTCTGTCTTTCTCTCTCTCTCTCTCTCAAAAATAAATAAACATTTAAAAAACAAACAAACAAACAAACAAACAAACAAACAAACAAGATACTCCACCAGGTTTGGCCCTAGTCAACTGTGAAAGTTTCTGTTGGGGAGCAAGAATTTCCTGTCCCCTTCAAAGTGCTTCCAGCAGGTCTAAGAATCAAATCGACATGAGACAGATTAATAGGAGAAAATCAAATTCCACACAGACATGGAAATTCCAAAGACAGGCAAGATGAAGCATATCTATCATTCTCAGCTAAGGAGAAGGTAGGGGTTTAGGAATGAATTCACAAGAAATGAATTCACAGGAAAATGAAAAAGAGTTAAGTGTTTGGTAAACATGTTTGCTGGACCAGTCAGAAACAATGCGACACAGAGAATTTTTATTATTTTATTTTGTTTTGTTTTATTTTATTTTTTTATTTTAGAGAGGGAGTGTGAGGGAGAGGAAAAAAGAATCTTTAGCAGGTTTCATACCCGAGTTCGGAGCTGAAAGCAGAGCTCCATCTCACGACCGTGAGATTGTGAGATCCTGACCCGAGCCAAAATCAAGAGTTTCACACTTAACCTACTGAGCTACCCAGGACATACAGAACTTTGATCAAAGAGGCCTTGCTTGGTTACTCCCCATCTACCACACCTAGTTCATAACAGAAGGGTTATCTATGGTGATAGCTCTCTTCCTGGAGTAGGTCTTCTATCTAAATCCTTTTAGGGCGTTGAGGGGGAGAGGTAAAGAGCTTTTTCAGAATCTGCTGGTTTTTGATTGTTTTGTATCTGAAGATAATCTTCATGCCAACGTGGCCTGTTTGGAGGCAGCCTGCCCTTGGCCCCTACACTTCACCATCTGGCTCAGAACAGGTTTTTGTGTTTTTGTTTTTAATTAAAGTTCATTTATTTTATATATCTATATCTATATCTATCTTTCTATCTATAGAGAGAGAGTATTAATTTCCAGATTTAAAAAATGTAATAGAATTTCATGGTAGGTAGATATTACTCCCCTCCCTCCCTTCTACTTCTGTTAAAAATAGGAGTCCAACTCATATTCTGATCTCTCCAAGGCAGTTTCTGGCCTAAAGGGATTTTCATTTCTGGGACTTTTGGAAATTACTTCAGAACATTGTTTTCAGGCAAGCATTAAAATGTGCTCTAGTGTGGGTTGCTGGAAACATGCTGGCTTCACCAATTAACATGTGGTGAGCTGTGTCCCAGACGCTGACGAGTACCCGTTGCCCAGAATGCAGAATCCTCAACAGTGTATCCCTTAACCTTGGTCTCAGTAAATATTTTCAGGAAAGATCAAGTCAGTATGCCTGACTGTGGACCTCAGTTCTAAAGAAGGTATTAGCACATCTGTGTCATGCTGGGGGGTAAGAGAAATGATTGCTTGAGCAAGCCCCGGAACCCAAAACTTGAAATAAAAGAAGTGTGAGTCAGGGCCACACTTGTTTCACTTCCTGACTACATACCATGCATCAAGATTAAATTAGGTGGAATTTCACGCCCATTGCTTGGGTTTGGTCACTGGACTACAATTCCCCAACCATAAATCTGAGAGAAACTGATACTTTTCTTTCTAATCAGTTGACCCAGCCACATTGAGAGGCTTAATAGGAACCTACCTGTGCTTACTGATTCTCCTAGAATCTCAGAACTTTCTCTCCCCTTGCCCACATGTACAATTGCTTCATCAGTGTGTTATTTCTGTCTACAGTTCCATCTTCTCTTTTCACTGACAGCTCTTTGGATCTGAGTCAGGAGCCTCTGCCTTTTTTTTTTTTTTTTTTTTTTTAAGCCTCTGCTTTTTGTAGAAGTTTTCCCCCAGTCAGAAATGTGGGAAATGAAATCCATCCCAAAAGCAGGTAGAAACTAAAAAGCTAGAAAACTG